CGATTCGTTGTGATAAGAGAGTAAACATTTTCGCAATCCTAGAATATTTGTCGAAAATTATAAAATACAATTAACACCAATGCATTGGCGCGTAAAATTAATTGAATCTCACTAATCCAGCAATTCAATTGATACAATCGAGCGATTTATTTTAACGCCATCAATAGACAATTATTTCATTACCATAATTGATTGGAATTAGCACTGACATATCATGCCCGTAAATAGCCTCCAACGTAAAAGAAAAATACTTTTATTTAATTTTCCCTTCGGTTTCTCGTTAGCCTCGCTTCTCACGCTCCACCCGCATTAAGAATTCGTGCGCTTTTGCGTTATATCCCTTGCCTACGACACTCGACAATCCCAAAATACACGCGACCCTCACCATTTACTTCGATCAACTCTTTACTATTCAGTCGCGCGCGTCGCATTCCATTACAAAGAATCATTCTTACTCTACTACTACTACTACTACTACTACTTATCGAGCCCCACTACGTCATGACATGCAACCTAGAAGAGTTCGGCAAGTCCGTTAAGCCGAGCCGATCGTGCGTTCGTCAATGATGTCAAAGGGCACGAACAAAGTTGCTCTGCATTCCCGTGCGTGTGCTTTTTTCTCTTTTTTTCTCTCTCACTCTTTTTTTTTTTTTTTAATGACGAAAGGGAAAACGTGCCTCGAGCACCGAACCAAATAGCGACGAGCCGGTGAAAGTGAGTGAAGCGCGGCGCACCTCGGGAAATCTACGGCTACGAGCGACAAACAATGAAAATTCTGCCCAATGGGCAAGGTTGCGATGACCTTCGTACAGTAACGTAAAATCGTCTACTTTGGTCTGCAGTGGGCCCTTTCTCGAATTTCCCGCGTCATTGGCCGTCTCGGCTTTTCGCGAATTGCTCCTTCTCCACGAATATTCTATTGTCTTCGATACGGGCGAACGCTCGGAAGAAATTATTAACTTAACAATGAAAAGATCACTGCCAATAATTAAATAGCCTTGCTCCTGCCACCATTCACCTTCATGCACAATCAATGTTTTAAGCACATACGTCAATTGTATCATTTAATACCTTCAAACATTTAATAACGTAACATCTTCCGCCCCCGCTTTAGAATAGTGCTATTTTTATACATGTATTTTTTCTCTTTTTTATACACGTAATTTTTTTTTGCTTACGTGATTGAAATTCACTTTAAAATGCATCCAACCGCGCAAAGCAAGAAAACAATACTTATTAGGTAAAGAAAAATTTTTATTAGGTGTAATTGTTATTTTCAATCGAGTAAAATGTTGTAACACTTGTATCGATCTTACAAATGATTATAGAAAATAATTTGTTCTAATACAAATGTATTACAAAATTAATACAAAATATTCCCTTCTATATTGTAAATATATACGAAATATTGAACAGTCGTTTGAAATTCATTAAAAATATTTGCTTTTCTTGAAAAAAAGAAAAAGAAAACTGATCGCCGGAATAATGGTGACTAATGTAAAAAAATCTTGTCAGAAAATTCCCATTTATCATTAACCCACTTATGTACAGTGGTATAAGAACACTTGCTCTATCCTACTTGAGCTTTTTATCATTAAGTCTTACAGAACACAAATGAGTACTTACTCGTGTAAGTAAATAAGTATTGATCATAATAATATTTTCTAATTGAGATAATTTCTGATTTATTGCCATATTAAATATTCAATATAAAGAAACGACTTGAGATACATATTAGCTCAAGATTTGTAATTATTATTTTCCTAGCTACTAATGCTCAATGTGCAATCATCAATGAGTACAATCTGTAATAAGTACAACAGATTTAACAGCTTAATTTATATAATTAATCTATATATATATATATATTTTTTTTTTTTTATTTGTAAATCAAGCAATTGTGAATTTCCTTTTTTTTTAATCTCTATGTATTCGACATTGTGTGAAAGCATATTTCAAATATAGAAAATATAAATTTAATTTTAAAAAAATTTTATTGAATATATATATATATATATATATATATGATGAAATAATGTATAAATATTGAGCTTGATGACGTATTCGATACTAAATATTACAATTTATTACATTACTTTTATTAATTTATGATTAAATTAGGCATAAGATTATTATTTTTTTATATAGAATTAAAGAAGTATGTAATATTACATGTACAATTGTTTGAATTTTTATTATTATTGTCATTGATTGAATCTATGATACAAATTGTAAGATTTAAATACACCAATAGAGATACAACGATTAGAAATAAATCGGTTTAAAGTTTTTCATTATATTTATTAGTAATAACTTGTATTCTTATATTAGAACTATCGAGTAATGTTAAACGCACCTGTTAAACGAATAAAACAAAGAATTTATTATTTAATGATTTTCTATCATCAAACATTGATTTACCTTTTTATTTTTATTTTTTTATTTTTTATTTTTTTTTTCATTGCATGAAAAGGTGAGTCAAGCGCCATCTTTATAAGACACGTCTTTTCCTTCTCTTTCGAAACTTTGTCAATAAATTGTATAATCAAATAAATAAACCTATTATTAAAATGAAATTACAGCATAGGTAGTTTATTGCCATATATTTATTTACAAGCTCCAATTACGTTAAATGACAACAACAAAAATATTTATGCTATAATATGTAGTATGAAAAAATTAAATGCACGCATGATGACTTGTTTTCCGCATACTAATCATATCCCAATGAAATATCGTCGCTATCCCTAGGCTGCCATTTCTCAGTGACCACTAACATAAACAAAACTTGTTTATTAATCTCTTTGAAAAAAAAGTCTTTCGTACGTTTCCGAATTTGCTAATCATATCCACCACCACCCCTTCCCAATCACCCCAAAGCTCATCGAAATGACAATAATGGTGAAAGAGCGAGTATCGGTCGTTGGCCGCCGACTGCACTCGCAAACGACACGATTTACAAAAACCTATGCAAGCGCTGTCTGTTCGATGAAAGAAAATGTGTTCGAGGAGGAGGAGGAGGAGGAGGAGGGTAACGTAACCCGTAAGACCCGCGACAAAAGACCAGCAGCCAAGTAAAAAAGCCCTAATAAGAAGCGTCGCCCAGTCGCTCTCAGCCCCTTAATTCGGTCCCCGCCTCGGGCGTCTTCCTTTCTGCGTTTTTCTCTTCTTTCTTTATCGCGTCGGTCGACTCGCGCGGACGGAATGCGACGCGGCGCACGAAGGACGTATCAATTGTGGCAGCGCGGGTCACGGGACTCTTTGTCCCGACTCCACCGTTTCATTAATCGACTTAACTGCGCCTCGGTATAACGTAAGAGCGCGCGCATCGCGCCCCGACCCGTCGCTATGGGACCGCAAGACGCGCCAAGGCCCCCCCCCCCCCCCCCCCCCGCCAGCCACCCACCCGCGACCACTCACGGCAACCACTGGTACACGGGGTGGCCTTGAATTTTCAGCCTCGGCACGGGCGCTCGATCGCCGATTTTCCCGCGCGTGAAGGGAGTGGAAATCGAATGGGATAGGATCTGTGGCTCGAGCGTCGTCGCAGCCATCATCGGTGGAACACGCGATAACACGCGACACTGGCCGTCCAGTAATAGCAGGGCGCCCCATCTCCTTCAGCTTCGAGAGCTCAAAGAACGTAGACAGCCGTGCGCGTATAGTGCAAAGCATTATTGTCTTTCCATTTTGATGTATGGAATGTATGAAAGGGAAATGATTGGGGGGGGGGATGGGAGGAGTTGACAGCTGCGTTACATCGAGCGTCATTGAGTGACGTAACTTTTAGAAGCACAGAGACGCAATGATTTCATGTTAAATCGGGAGGTTTGACACTTTGAGACTTTGAGAAAGTGTGCACTCATTTTGTACGAATACGTGCATTATTTGCATTACGCCCGAACTACAAACGACAATGTCAATATTCAAAATCGTGAAAAAAAAAAAATTACTTTTAATTTACCATAATGCTACGTTAGATTCACTATTCATTGGCTCGGATGAGAAAAAAACCTAATCTATCAATTTATTCCTTTTATTTAATTAATTAATTAATTAATATAAATGATGTGTGGTCGCTTATCTTGGATAAAATCCATTTGTGGAAACATTTGGAGGAAGAATACGAAACTGAGCAAGTCCGTTTGACCCTCTCTTTTTTTTTTTTTTTTTTTTTTTTTTTTTTTTTTTTTTGGACGATAAATACAGGCTTTCATTAGTTAAATTTCTTTTTAACGCTTAAGACGAGCGAACAGTGCACAAAAAATCAACGTAAAATTTTAAATATCGTTGCTTTACTTTTTTGTCATATTAATTTTCGCTTTCGTCCGTTTTTAACTGCTTGGTATAGAATTTTACCCTTTTGGAGTCAATTTGATTAGAAATGCTATAAGACGCATTAATAAATGCAAACTGGAGGAATAATTGACGATGATAAATTATTAAGATTTTTGTCATAAAAAAATTAGAAGTTATGTAAAACACTTGAAAGCCCTTTACGTTTTCTTCTTTTCTTTTTTTAATAAAATTTTTACATTTATTAATCGAGAAATTGTCCAGTTTTACGAATACAATTAAACGCATACCAATGTACTAAACGTTTCAAGAGAATTGTTATTTATAAAAATTAAGCTAACTATGTCATAATAATCCGATGATCATTATTAACGCTTAAAATTTTTGGCAATCAAATACAATAAATTCGATCGAAGCTTGTAAAATTATCAAAATAAAACAAAATACCGCCTGCCTCGACTTGTCTCCGCGCACCCTTCGAAATTAAGGTAATTAAAGAACAATTGCCGATTTAAGCAGATGGCCCAAGCGCCACAAGTATACTTATTCGTAAATAAAATAAATCTGTCTAATTGCGTATAAATTTGCGCGATAATTGCGTCATTCGACGTACAAATGATATTACTCATACCGTTATCATCAACCATTGTGTAATGAATCAATTATCTCCTATTTAATCTAAATAATCATTTATGCGCTTTCAGGATGACACGGATGATGTTGGCGCGGAAGTGGGCTGCACTACCCAATGTGAAGTCGATCACGTGAGAGACTATTTATTTATATTCTATCGCAAAATTGAAAGAAAAAGTCGAGATCCGTTGAAAATGCTCGTCCCTTGAAAAAGCTCCGACGTTTCTCGCTTAATCGAGCCGTCATATCTTCTTTTTCTGTTTTTTTTCTTCTGTTTTTTTTTTTTTTAATTTTTTGTTTGGTCGAAACGAACATTTAAATAGACAGCCGAGGCGATCCCTTCCGCGCATGTGTCGACAATAGAGTCGTTTCCGGCGCGTCGCCAATTGTACAGCGAGAGAAAGGAAAAAAAAAAAAAGAAAAGAAAAGGAGACCGTGTCGACGATCTGACCCGAGATGTCATCCTAGGAGAGTAGAAAACTTACCGGCCGCTGACTAAGACTGATAGGAGGCTTGGCTAGTACTGATAAAACCCTATTATCGCTTATTAGAACGGAGTACTTTCATTGTTTAGAGTGGGCGGGCTGTCCAAGGAAATGCTGTTGCACGTTATTCAATGCTTTTGAAATATTACACGCGAGATGGAGATTTTTCTGCGAATCTACTGCTAGCTAACGATGCGGATCGCGAATTTCACTTTTTAAGGAGCCGAGAGGATTTACCGTTGGACTAAACGGACACTACCGAGATGACGAAATTCCAAATGATATTTTAATTTCCACGGTTGACATTACTTTGGATTTTAATTGACGCTTTAAAGCTTTCCATACTATCTGATAATCGAATATACTTTGAGCGGTACATTAAAGTTTGGAGAATGTTTATAAGTTATAAGAATATTATTGCTAACAATTAAAACTAAGTTCGATTTAATATCTCGCAAGACACTATCATTGTATAAAAATTATATAGCAGAAAGTCATTTATGAATAATTATTGCTATAATTATTGTTTTGATTATATTAACTGCAATTATTTCGAATTATTATATATAATATATAAATAATTTTATATATGTATATATAGACATTGCCAGATATATTTTTCCCTTTCAAATATGTAAAATGAAAAATTTATACATTTTATCATATATTATTGGACTTTTTTTTTTCTTTTTTTTTTGTTATACCCATTGATTAATATAAATAAAGAGTGTTCTGATAATGGTGAACAGAAAAGAATTTTATTTGTAAAATGTAAAATTTCTCGTGGATTTAGTAATAAATTCTAGAAGTAATAGGGAGCCACAGATATATCGTAAGGAGCTTTAAAAAATCTACGTCCATATGGCATGTTCGCTTGTAATAAACGATAAATAAAGATAAATGCTAAAACACTGCTTAAAATGTCAATATAAGGTAAGAACATTATTACAACAATGCATGAAATATCTACGATATTTATTAAACTTAACTAAATTAACTAAAGAAAAAACGCGGGACAGCGATGCCATGAATGGCCGTTGCGCGGTTGAATGGACACGCGAAAGTATTGTAATTGCCTGGTGCACATGTGCGCATAAAAGTGCGTGAACTTTAACGGAAATCGCGCAATTGTCGTGCGACTCTATTATGTCACCCAAAGACTTGTGATTTCCTTACTCTCTTTTCTTTTTTTTCTCTCTATTTTTATTTAATTTTTCTATTCAATAATCGATAAGCGAGTGGTAATTGAAAGGTAATATACCCAACACTTGTAGTATCGGAACACTTAAGAGAATTTTCTGTATTTTTATATAGTATCGTTGAAATAAAACTTTTTAATAATTCTAATTCATGTAGATTTTCATTATATATCACTTTGTTTTTTTTTTTTTTTTTTTTTTTTTTTTTTTTTTTGTTAGCAAATGTAATTATTGGTTTCTGTTGAGATATTGATGATATATAGATATAGATTTATTATAAATTTTATTATTATTTTATATTTATTATTATTATTATTATAAACGAGATATAGATTTCTGTTTTATAATATTATTGGGATATTCATATACATATAATGACGATACATACAATGAAATAGCTATTATTCACAAGGCTACATGTTAAAAATATTATTACCTACAGAAATCATGTATATATAGTTTGCAAAGTAAACCGATGTTTTGCTTTTAAATGGAATTTCGAAATCTAATTAATTTAATACAGATTAGTACAGTGAAAATCCATTGATATGTATATTAATGTGAACAAGCAAATGGCTTCCTAAAATTTTTATATTTATAAACTAATGTACAATTACTTTTTTTTTTTTACCAAAAAGATAATATAATTGAGACGTGAAACATGAATAAGATTTGTTAATAATATAAAATTTATCGATCCTCTTTATTTTGATATTTTATATACGATAGTCGAAGAGATTCGCAATTATTTAGCAACTTCAAATTGTTTAATCTTTTACAATTCCCTTAAATGGATTAAAATTTAATAGTAATATTAAATTTTAGACATTAGTTTCTTTCTCTTCACTGTCTCTGGTAATATTTATTACTGTTGACATCGGATTAACGCAACGTCTTAAGACTTTATTGAAAATTAGCTTATGATCAATTATCCCAAAGATAGTTGCTTATTTTATTGTTAGACTTATTATCACTCAATACATTAATTTAAATTGCGTATCTTACTTTATGAGAAATTCTTCTGCAAATAAATAATATTTAACTTTCAATGTACTTATACTTTTTTTATGTTTTTTTTTTATCGAAAAACATCATATTATTGAGTATTAAAACGCAATCGTGAATTATTTGAAATTTATGAGTTTATAGATTGATTACTAGTAACCGTGATTTCAGGTGGCAAATCTCGTAGTATAAATATAAAAGAAATTATACGCATATACGGGCATAAAAATTTTTTTACTCCTAAATATTGACGGATCACTATGATTATCTACTGATTGAAAGTTACGGAATTAGTTAAATTTTCAATTACTCATACGGTTTTAATTCTATTCGTATTTACGTGCTTTTTTATTCGAATTCTGTAATAATTTCGACAAATAAACATAAGAAGAGTTCGTCGAGCCAACATTATTATTTATTAGAAAATAAAATCATAATTTTATATTGCACTTGATATATTAAAAGAAAATTCGTCAAGGCTTTGAAAACAATGTCCGTGGGAAAAAAAAGACGTATTACGTATTATTATATATATATATATTTTTTTTAATTATTAAACTAGAAAATTTTATAGTATAAATAAATATATTATAATATGAAATAAATAGATTTCTAACAAGTTCGAACAAATAAATAGTGAAATAATAATAATATAATGGTTCCATTTTAGAGTTAAAATTTTAAAATTTGTTATTTAATCTATTAATTATCTATTATATATAATTAATTTTATCTATTAATGATAAACGAAAAATTACCTTCGAGTAAGTAAGTAAAATGAACTTTATTTTCATAAATAATATCTTCAATTTCATTGGCTTTTTTTAATTTATAAAGTTTGATTCAATAAAATCGAGAGCGATAAGATAAATTGTGTATTGTATGTTTTTTAAAATAAAATGAGCTAATTCAATTAGTTATATATGTATATAATTTTACATAAATTAAAAATTCATTTTGATGAAAATTACAAATTGCTAAAGTACATTTTAATTTAATATATAATTATTATTATACTTTAAAAGTTTTCAGATATTTAATACGTTTGTTTATTTGATAAGCAAAGTTTATAAAATATTAATTTTAATGATGTATTATAATTTAGAAACTATGTATAGGAATTATAACCGTATGAGAAAATGAAAAATAATTGAAATATAGGTGTAGTTTTTTTACAAGATATTATTTTTAAAAGATATTTTAAAATACAATAATAAAATAATTTCAAATGTCTTTTAATTGTAATTTAATTAATTTTTTGGCTTATCTATAGTAAATTTTATTTACTTTAAATCTTTATTAATTTCAATAACTTTTACTATACATCATATATATATATATATATATATATATATATTTATATAAATTTATAATGCCCGGCTTCCGTTTATAAAATGTTACCCTTATAATTTAAAATTTCTTATTTATATGTTAATGTTTGTTACAAGAAAGGTTATAAATCAATATTATTTTTATAATTAATTGAAAATCAGATTAATTAAAGTATCATGAATAATCAAAATATAATGTAATAAATAAAAATAAATAAATTTATAATATATTTATCAATAAATGTAAGCTGTTTGTCAACAAATATAAATGATATTAAATTGTCAATTGACAATGGAACTGCGTTATAACGCAGTCAGAGCTTTTAATAATAGTAGAATTTTTAATGATATTTTAAACATTTTCGATATTAAAAACGTCAATTATCAATATTTCAATTAAATAAACCAATATAAAATAAAATTATAAATAAAAACCTTTCTTAGATAATTGTTGTATCGCGTTTGAGCGATAAAGACATAAAAGGTAAATGTTCACTTCAAATCAAACTTCACAAAAGACATAAATGGTAAATTACCATCAATTTTGCACGACATTTCTCAAGAAAATCTTTGGATCTCGACGTATCTTATACACGACGAATAATTATTCGTTATTTCTTTAGTAAAGCGATTACTAATTATACAAAGAAAACTACAGGCAACATCGTTATTTTTTTATATAATTATCAATGATTGAAACTATGTGAGGTGTGATAATAAATTTTGTTGCGACAGTGCTCCGATGGCTGCATTATATGGGAACGAGCGCTTAACTCAAGTTGCCAAGAAGTTTGTGTAAGTGAAAAAAATTTAAATAAAAAATATACGCACGATTATGGATATATTATTGAATAAGATCTTGAGTAAATTATTACGAGTTGATCATAATCGTTTCTTTGCTTCTACCGCTTTAGAATGTAACGCAAGGATTGTTATCTTTGAAGGAGCTTTATTGTACAGTCGGTTGTCAAAGTGCTTTGAGTCGATATTTTCAGCAATTAAAAGGTATATACATTTATAATTTATTCTTTTAAAATATGTACAATTTTATGTATCATCGTTTATACAAAACAACGAATCCTTACAAAAACTTTAATAACTTTTATATAAATTATGTAATACAATTGTTGTGAAATGTTGTGTATAATAAGTAAATTACAACAATGTTATTGAGATATAATTGTCAATAGTCTATGTAACTTTGTAATGCGAACACAGGCATTTAAAGTAATTTACTACTATTTTTATGAAAACTATCAATATGTTCTTCAATTTCAAATGTTAGAAAATAATAATATAAATATATTCAATGGTAAAATTAAGATAATAATAATAACTTTATAGATTTAAATTATAAGCAAGATTATTGTTGTAGTAAGTAGTGTCCATAGATGAGGATTAAATTTAAAAAAATGAAAAATTATATTTACATTGACTTAAACTTTTGTTAACATTAATTATGAAAATATAATTATACTCCTTAAGTTAAATACACTATTCGCTTAAATACTTTTGTTATATTATTATATACGGTTGCTTTAAAAATTTTCAAATTCCCTCTCGTACATATTTTCTTCGGGAATTACCAATTGTTCTTCATTGTATTTGTCGAAATTACTGTCGTCCGACTGATTAGTACAATTTGGTACGAAGCTTGGCACGACAGATTTGTTATATATTTTTATCCAGTCTATTTTTTCAAACCACTTATGCCTCTTGATGTCCAGCGATCCATTTTTAAGATTGCCGAACCTCCTCGTGAGATCCAGCTGCAGAAGATTTTTAATAAGATCTTTCAGATCGTGCTGGAAGAATTGCGGGAAATGGTACTTTCCCAGTGTGATCTTTTCGTAAATATTCACTGTATGTTGAGAGAAGAAGGGCGAATAACCTGCGTTCATCTCGTAAAGCAGAATGCCGAAGCTCCACCAATCGATAGATTTGCCGTAGCCCTTTGACAAAATAATCTCTGGTGCCAAGTACTCCGGAGTACCGCACAGTGTCCACGTCCTATAAAATAAGATATTTATTTTCGTTTATTCGATATTATGATTGAATGTGCTACGTTTCTGGGGAGGATATACAAAATTTTTAATTGACGCATTACAATTACGTAAAGCTACTTTCGCAATAGTGAAACTGATTGTGAAACTACCTTAACGATTGTCGTTAATTTAAATAATCCATTTTTTTAATCATTTGTTTCAAATGGAAGATACAAGTATCGCTCGTTTTCATAAGTATTCGTTTAAGTGTTTCAGCCAATGATTTAGCATCGTATATAAATAATTTATGTATTTCTTATAATATAGATAATATTCTATAGACATTATTATAATTAAATCATCGACTAAATTTACTCGACTATGTACGTTAATATTTTTTAATTAATTTTCAAATTGGAATTAATTCATGAATTTCATTAAGTAAATTATTATGTCGTGTATCATTTGCAGATGATGATTTTTCAGATGTTTCGATTTATTAGAAAGCAGAAGAAGAAATTATAAAACCGCGATGCTGACACTTTTTTAAATTATACAATACAATCGAAAAAATATAATAAATTCAAAATATTTGTCCGAGCATTAAAGATAATATCATGATAGTTTTTGAAAATTCAGGTATAAATTGATTTTGTAAGAAAGTTTGTAATAATCAATGTCCATCTATATGAAGCCGATTCACTTTACTTGAAAAAATCGATCATTTAGAAATATACATAAACGATATGGTAATTGAATAAACATTTTTTTTTTTTTTTTTTTTTTTTGACTATTTAGAAATAGCTTAAAGCCTAAATGAAAATATATTAGACAGAATAGTTATTTTCGCCATCTTTCCTGTTATTAATTTGTTTACAGAAGCCAAAGTCCACCACACGTATATATCCCAAATTATCAATGAGGATGTTCTCTGGCTTGAGGTCGCGGTAGATCAAATTGCATTTGTGCAGGTACTCCAGGACAAGTGCGACTTGGGCGGCGTAAAATCGCGAGAGCGATTCGCTAAATTTTCCCATCTTGCGCAAGTGACTAAACATTTCTCCTCCATTGATAAAGGGCAAGACTATGTAGATATATGCATTATCCTTGAAGCAATATTGTAGGTAGACGACAAAAGGGAAGTGTAGGCTCTGCAGGATGTGCTTCTCATTTTCCGTATGTTCGATCTGTGTCGTTTATTTTATTTTCATTATTATTCAATCTTAACGAGAATAATGATATTTGGCAGTCTTGTCTGAATACCGATAATTAAATTTACATATTGATTGCGATAATCGTTATATGAAAGCTTAAGATACTAATAATGAATTTCATCTGTATTTCGATACTAAGAACAGCGGACAAAACGAGAAAAATGATAATAACAGTTTGGCCGAAAGAATATTGCACATTAAATGGGATATAAATGGTCTTCATAAGGAATTTTAAAATGAAAATAACTGATGAAAAGTTCAAGTAATTAAAATGATTGCATTCCACATTAACATAGTTAAAAATTCAACATATTAGCCAAATATAATACTTTGTTTATTTAATAAATTTATAAGTTTTTTTTTTTTTTTTTTTTTTTTGTTCTTATTACTAAAGCTAAAAAATTCTTAACTTTAGTCTTTGATCATTATCAATATTATTGTTGTTATTATTAATATTATCATTATTATAATAATAGTTATTAGTATAGAAATTTGATTGTATATGTGTATAATGTGTAAACTGAACTGCAAGAGCATTGAAAAGCTATGTATAAACAAATTTAATCGAACTCATTGAAAGTTTAAATCATTTAATTCTTAAAACCTTATGTTTAAAAGAATTCGATTGATTCTTTAAACAAGAGAAAGAAATCATTGACTGCTGCATACGACTCGCTCCGACGACACTTTATAAAACAATGTTTAAAAATAACTCCATTTTTATAAACAAATGATGTACGCACCTATGCTTGCGTTCTATTTATTGAAATGAAAATAGCACTGTGTACCAGAAAAGCATATTATTGATGTGTATTCTCGAGTTTTTAGACACTACCACCACTCGTATATTAATCAGATTACTAATCGATAAATATATTAGTTTCACAATAAAAAAAAAAAAGAAAAAGAAAATGAAAAGAAAGAAAGAAAGAAAGAAAGAAAGAGAAAAAAAACGAAAAAAAAATTTTAACTTCTTAATATTTCCCGCCTTTTAAATAATATTTATTAAATGCAGGATCATTTTTAATATTTATTTCGTTAATGTCGACGACCGAGAGCTTTATATTCGAGTAAAGAGAAAGCGCGACGAACACTCACCGGTTACCGCAATACAATGCATAACAAAAATGTTCCGATAATGTCATGAGAAAGTCCGAGGCGATAAAGAAAGCTTTTAAGCATTTTATTTTAAATTTCATAATCCCAGTCCCAAAGCAATGCCATTTTAAATCAGATAAGGCGATCTTAACGAAGCTTTATCGTCAATTCTCATGTCAACTCAGCTTACACATTGCATATATAATTGGCATCTTCTTCCTCGACATAATTGATGATAATGGAAAACATTAGAAAAATAAATAGGACTCAGGACTTATCCACCTGTTTCATATTGACGATTTTGGCTTTGCTCATGATCTTCATTGCGTGATAGGTGTTGTCAAATTTGTGCTTGATCAGCATAACGCGACCGAAAGCTCCGGTACCTAGCGTTCGGTAATATTCAAAATCATCTAACTTGCCGGTCTGATTTGCCATGACGTTTGTCTTAAAACGCTCATCGAAAGTGTTTTTAAGCTCTTCCAAGATGTTCTCGTACTTCTTGAATGACTGCTCGCGATAGTGCACGTCTATATTGGACTTGAAGGATTCCGATTGCACTGTTGACATTATCGTCGTCACTTTTCCAATTAGTCACTACTTTTCGATATTCATTGCTTTAAAGCTCGAGACAGATGCTCTTTGTTCTTTCGCTTTGAATGCCAAATAAAGATCCGAGGGCTTTAATGGTTAAACTGTTTTGCGAGGTTAGATTCTATATTTCAGCGATTATTTAATATTCATTGGCAACTTCACGCTGGATGATATTGCTATCGATCTTTATTGTGCATTATTCAGGCGAGAGATCAATTCTTTTTACTTAAACGTTTTCATTGAAGAGCGAGAGCTGTTCTCCATACCTCTCCTCCAAACTATACATTTTTAGCGAAAATTACATTGTTATGCATTGAAAGGCAAATTTCAATAATGCTAGAACAAACAATGAAGATTATCTCACGTATAACTGTGTTGTTTAAATAAAATGATGTTAAATGATTATTAACGACGGTGAAAGATTTAATTACGTTAATATTTTCTTTTCTTTTTTTTTTCTTTCTATATATATCGCGATAGGCTTAGTAGGAACGATGATACATTTAATAATGTAATAAATTTTCATTGCTTAAAAGATTTTATTAATGACGAATTTGTGTATTACTATCGATGATAAATATTTGCCTCGCGCTATTATAACCAACGATTTTTCTATATCAATATATCAATTTTATCCACTTGATAAATTATATAGTTCACATTGGAGTGCCACCAACGCCAATTCTAGTCAACAATTCATTGGCAGCAACGTCTCTCACTTTACAATGGGACAACACGATTTTGAAGCACTATAACTTCAAGATAGCGTATTTTATGCAATGGAAGTACGAAGAGTCGCGCGACGATTGGCAATATTGTAATAAGCAAAATTGGAATGGAAAAAATCAAATATTCATACGTAATTTACAACCTTATACAAGATACAAGGTAAATTGATTTCATGAAAATTTCATATCTTTAACTTCATATTGTTAAAGATAAGCTTTTAATTGCGAATATCCCAGTTCAAGCACAAAGCACGAAAATTTAATCTTAACTTCTTATTTCAAGACTAAAAAACTAGATTCTACTATCGTGTTGGTATATGTTTTGACCGACGATTGTAATTATTATTTAAGATACCACTCTACCATTATGGTTCGCCAGTAATGTAGAATAAACGTATTTTAGTTTCGTTTGGCGATATTGTTGAAATTAATTCAACGAGACGACGAGCCAATATTTTCGCAGTCTAGTCTATCGATTTTGACATTGGCCGGGGGATCGCCAACTTCGGCACCTACAATCGTTCAGGCCTCGGCTATAGATCACTCGAGAGTTTATGTGAGTTGGGAAGCTGGATCGATTACCAATGGGCCGCTATTCTCTTACGTATTGCGACTGCAACAGGAGGGTCACGAAATCTTTCAATTGAAGGTATAGAAAAACATTTCTTTAAGCTTTTAAGAGTAAATGCTAGAAAACAAAAATTAAAATTACCAGTGTAAAATTTTCTTTTCGCCTATTAAATGTTTGTTTTTTTTTTGTTTTTTTTTGCATTAATCTGCAGCGATCCATAAAAAGAAAATAAAATTTATTCCAGATCAAATGGTTTCTGGATAACAATTAACGATTATTTTATTTCAGCATATACCAGTTTCACAAGACACTTTTATGTTTCAAAATCTTCAAGCAAATACAAACTATTCCGTGACTTTAAATATGAAAAATGATGATGGGGAAGGACCGGAAACTTATACATTTGTTAAAACATTAGTAGAGCCTGAAGGTATGTGCCAATATACATGTATTTATAAATTATAATCAAGTACTGCTAATTCGTTACATTAGAATAAATATAAACGAACAGAAATTGAAAATTTTCTGCCTCCAATTGATCGATACGAATACTAATACTTTCGTTCCCCCCACACACACATATAGACACACACAGAGAGAGAGAGAGAGAGAGAGAGAGAGAGAGAGAGAGAGAGAGAGAGAGTACTTTTATTTAATTTTTTTTTTTTTTTGTTCCTACTCTAAAGTTCTTTACGCTCCAATAGCTTTCACCGCATATCGCATAAAGTTCTTGATTTATCGTTGCTCGTCGCAAATAATTACAATTAGCGATTCGAATAGCGAAATCCGTGAGCTTCGGAGTTACATTACTCGGCTGCATCTCAAGCCTCGATCTCGCACGTCCCTCTAGTGAACTCATCGGAGAAGCCGGAGCTGATAATAAGTAGCGAGTACTCGATAGTCCTGCAGAGCGCCGACGTCCTCGTGGAGACGAGGATTCTTTACGAGGATAAGGAACGGATCCGCGAGAGCGCGTTGCTGATCGCGGATTCGCGCCTCTTCGTCTGCGACATGGCGGATCGGCTCCATAGCGTCTCCTTCGACGAGGCGATCCCGGTAAGGAGTCTCCTACTGCATCCGAATATCACGTACCTGAGGCCGTGGAGCCTATCCGTCGACTGGCTCAATGGGATCCTCTACTTGGCAGGGGCGAGTGACCGCACGGGATTCTGGGAGATTGCGAGGTCGGACCTCGAGGGCCGGAATCTCACGTCACTCGTGGGTGAACTGATTGACCAGCCTCGGAGCCTGCGGGTTGACCCCGTTAATGGATTTATCTTCTGGATGGCCAGTGACGGCATATACAGAGCGGATTTGGCCGACTTTGACGATAATGTGGAAGTTCAGGTACATTGAATTGAAATGTATTCCCACGTGGTAATCAAAGCAGTTATTAATATGGTTGTCGAAGATTTTTTTTCCCCCACTTCCTAGACTATATAGATTCGCTTATTGTTCTCGCTAAAGTACCATATTGAAAGAGATGAACAATCTTGAACAATTGATGCATTTATCATTAATCTTTTTTTATGTATACTCAATAAGTACCTTTGCTGCTAGAATTTTCACGACCGACTATACAGATTTAATATTAAATTACGAATTTTATCTTTAAAATACAAGGATAAATTAAATAGATACATCTAATGAAGATTGCGATGCTGTTAATCATATACTTACTGTATCCTAGCAATGATAAGCCTAAATGATATATTTTATTATAAATTTTACATCGTTTGAGTTTCTAATAAGTTAATAGATATATTTATTTGAGTAATAATTTAATACTATCGTTATAACAAGGCACATTATTTCTAAATTTTCTATTTTAAATCGTGCCGGTCTACGTAAATACATAAATTATGATGAATAACAAGAAAAGAACAATATTTTTTAATTTAAAAGTACTTTTTAAAATTCCGTGCATTTATTATAATTAGTTTAATATTTGAAAAGCCTTGTGATAAAATATAAATTATTATTAATAATAGATAAATTCTGTGTCTTTCAGGTTGAACAAATTTTGAAAAAATCAAATTTAGGAGCCTTCGTTGTTGACTACATTAATAGACGTCTACTAGTAACATATCAATCGGAAAATACAATAAAATCCGTATCCTTGGACGGAAAAGTTGCAATAGACATTAGAATAAATACAAAGCAACCCAAATTCAAAAACGTTATCTCTTTAACTATGACAAATGGATTATTTTATTGGACTAATGGAATTGAAGTCATAGCTGAAAGTTATGAGTCGAATAATTTCAGATACTTTCATAATGTACTTTTCAACAGGTACTAAATACGCATGTGCGTACGTACATATACGCGCGCGCGCGCATACGTATACATTTTATACATAATTTAATTTATAATTTAATATAACTCGACGGTTATTACGTTTTTGTATCAAACTTATCGATTCCTACAAAAGCATGAAAATATAAAAACTCTCTATTAATCATTTATAGTAATAAATGTAAATTAACAATCTGGATGTAGTGTTAAATGTTAAAATTTTGAAAAACAAAGTTACCTCGATTACTAATTCCTTAATGTGTAAATGTGTAAATTGCGTAATTTTTATCAAGAATATATTTAATTATGTATACTCATATGAGACCCCTTTATCGACAAATTACGGTCTCTTGTTTTCAACGATTTAAGAAATTTACGTATTATCAAGCCTTTTTACAATATTTTAACAATTTATATAAAGTCATAATTTTTTTTTTGAAATTCCAAAACGACGCTTCTGAATTTTGCAAGCATTTATCGTTAACGATAGACAAGCGAATGGTAGAATTGTGGATAATAAATCTTAAATAATATATGAATTGAATATTAAACGTTGATTAAAAAAAAAAAAAAAAAAAAAAAAAAAAAAAAAAACCGTTGAGAAAAGAATAAAAAGGCTACGTAAAGTAAACTTTTAAGAATTTGAGACAATGTACAGCGTAAAACTATCAAATTATCCTTTAAAACAAAAAGGATATAAAACAGAAAAATAATGATAATCCTTCCTGTATTGGTCTAGGCTCGATGAAAATTTCGTCAGGATCGAGGCTCTGATGGAGGAGTGCCAACCGACGCCGGTGCCGACGGAACCGCCACGATTGCCCCAAGCCCTAGCTTTAACCGACCGCGCTCGGATATCCTGGCAGAGTCCGGCAACGTTGCTCGGCCAAGGTCGAGGCGCCTGGTCCAGCTGGTTTTACGCACTCCATGTCGAGGACGACGTTAGCGGTGAGGTGTTCCAGGAGAAGGCGGTGACAGGGCTCGAGCACCTCGTCGGTGGTCTACGCGAGGGCGCTCTGTACACTGCCAGAATAGCCGGACATTCGCAGGCCGGCAGCGGTCCCTGGAGCGCCAATTTCAAGATCCAGACGATCAAGTGCGTTTTACCCAATTTGGCGTTTGTCATTTATAGAAATTGATGGGGCGGCTTGCGGAGTTTAAGCATTCGTTATACCGAAATTGGGTAATTGGTAACGCTATTGTCGTAACGACCGACTCAGCCATGATAAAAGTCTATTGATATTTTTTGTACGATGGCTGTATCAAGCGAATACGAGCGATCTTTTGAAAATAATAACAGATTTTTTATTTCGATATTCGCATTTTCAACTTAGTTTAGAACATTCTTGCGACCCACTTGCGCTCAATCCGCGATGATAAAAGTGAAGTATATTTTTCTTGATTGGCACATTACTCGAAGTGAACGTGTATTAATTCGCGCCCCCCCTCCCCGTCCCCTATAAATAATTAAAATATAAATTGCCATAGCTCGGATTATTGATTGGAAATGTATGGTTATTAAAGTGAATAATGTCAATCAAAACTTTATGTTTTAGAAAAGAGTCAAAATCCTCGATTCTTTGGACATCGAACGAAACGATTTATAAAAGTGACTTAATCGGTGAAAATGTGAAAGCTTTGGTGAACATTACGAGCTTAGATGAAGGAAATAGTTTTATAATATCCGACATTTGCTGGTACGAGGATCTATTGTTCCTCGTAGGAAATAATTCCAAACTATATCAATACAATACAACGAGTCAACGAAACATTATCGTGAAATTCGCACACGCGATAAGTAATGTTGCTGTCGAATGGATAACGAAGAAACTTTACTGGTCAGATGCGAAAAAGCAAGCGGTAAGTTTCTAATATGACGCTATTAATTTATAATAAGGTCGTTAAAGAAAGCTATGGATATTATCAATTGCTCGGGATTCCAACGAACTCCAAATTCCAACATAATCGCCATAAAATAATCGCCATGATGGGCGTTCCTCATAGATTCTTCGATCGAACATGGACGGCTCGCTGCAGGAGCCAATAGCCATTGTGGGAATGACGCGGACATTACTCTTGGACTGTTTGGAGGCGACCTTGTACTGGTCGACGAGCCGTACCGTAGAAGTCGCTCGACTCAATGGGGAAGAGAGGCGCCATTATCGCTCGGAGGATGACTTTGACGGTCGACATGTCGTCGGACTCACCCTCGATCTGGATAATCGATTCGTTTATTGGATCGTGGGCGACTACACCGACGACTACATGCTTTATCGGGCCCTCACCGTCGACATGCTGCCCCCAGACAGCAACATCGTCCCAGAAATGGTTGGTCCACTTGTTCTCCCCTTTACTTAAGTGTTTACGAACCATCAGCTCTTAATGTTCATTTATAGCTTGTCGTTTGCTACGAGGTAAATTGCCCTCTTAAGCGACAATGATTTTCTTATATTCCTACTATTTTATAGTTCATTATGTACTTTACAAAGTAATCTAGTGTCTAGTATTAGTAGTAGTAGTAGTAGTAGTAATAGTACTAGTAGTAGTAGTAGTAGTAGTAATAGTACTAGTAGTAGTAGTAGTAGTAGTAATAGTACTAGTAGTAGTAATAGTACTAGTAGTAGTAGTAGTAGTAGAGGCGGAAGGAAATTCAAGTGCGCGTGAGAATAAATTAATTTCCATGCCCGCAGGTGTCGAGGATTCGCAGGATAGTCAGCGACTCTCTCTCCTACGTCTCACACCGCCTCGTTCTTCTCGCGACCCCGACAAGCGCCTCGTTTACCAGTGTCCGTGGAAAGTACGCGTCCATACTTCGTCACTTTGACATCCGCTCGAATATTAGCGGCCTCGCCGTAACGGCACCGATTCCGCCATTACACCCCAAAGCGACCGGTCGAATAATCGTACGCCCGCAGCCGGTTAACGTGAGCAGCATCGCGATCTCGGGCACCTGGCGCGACTTCAACATCACGTGGCAGCGCGTCAATAACACGAGCTACGGGAGAGTCTTCTACGAGGTGGCGTTCACCGATTACATAAACGTGGACATGCAACCGATAACGACCAGCCGTAACTCGATGAGCTACGCCAATGCTGATCGATTGCTGCCTTACACGCTGCTCGAGGTCACGATTAGGGCGTACACGTACTGGGATAGGGCTGCGAGGGTCACTAAAGTACTACGATCGCCTCAGAGTGTGCCCAGCCAGCCGGTAAATCCCAAGATCTTCGTCGAGAGTTACAAGGATCCGTTGACCGAGCACCTTGATCACTTCATTACCTTCAGGTGAATGTTTATTATTTTACGCCTTAGAGCCGTTATATTTTAGGACGTCCGTTAGGACATCCGGACATCTGATAACGGTTGATTACAGCTGTCAGCCTCAACGAAAATCAACGCCAAAATTATGACAATCTTAAGCGCAAACACAAAACAATTGAATTTTCATGAATTTTCTAAACAAGCTTTTTCTTCTTTTTTTTCTTTTTTAGATGGAATATGCCTGAATTTGTGAATGGACCTCTAATAGGATTTACCGTACAGTGCTGGTTTCTAGTTGATAATACAGAAGTATCCCTCTGTGATTCCGTCAATGTACCAATTCACGAGTTGGGTAAGATATGCAGTTCTTGAATTTATAATAATAATAATAATAATAATAATAATAATAGTAGTAATCAACACGGTGTCTTACGCACGCATAAAGTCCTTGTAAAGGCTTTATCGTTATTCAAAGTATTAAACTTTTTTACAATTAATCATTGGAAAATGAGTGGAATTTTTCGAAAGTTTTGGATGTGGAGTAAGCGTCACCAAGCTAAAAAAAAAAAAATAAATAAATAATAATAATAATTAATTATAGCAATATTAACAAAAGATTATGAAAATTTGCTCTTTCAGAATATACGATTCATAGTCTTCAGCCAAATACCACGTACTTCTTCCAAGTGTGTGCTTATGCTGAAGTCGGCGCGGGTCTTTACACCGATCCAATCTCAAGTTCGACGGAAAATGAAAATCCGATCCCCCAACTGCTTGTCGCGACAATGGAGGATGTAAAGAAAGTTGATCTAGACCAATGCACGAATCTTACAATAACTCGGCACATAGCCGTGGAGGTGGCAGTGCTGGCAACCGAATCAAAGATCTACTGGATAAACGAAATGCAGGAGCTCGTAACGGCTGACGTTGACGGGCGCAACATCACAAAGATCCTTACACTCAATAATACGGCATTGAGCCTGTGCGCTGACTGGATTTCGCGAAATCTTTTCTGGACCGAATCCAACTACGAGGATTCTGGTATTAGCCATATTATGAAACTGGATATTACCGTGTGGGAAGCAGGAGTACTTAAGTTTTCTAGAATTTTGTCAAGAAGTAGGCGTATTGTCAATCTAGATATTGCTCCATTGACAGGGTATGTAAATCATTGATATAGAGAATGTCATAGCGCTGATTCTAGAGGCGCTTAATCGTCTCGCATCAATCGCGAACGATATCATTATTTTAATTGGTGCTGATTGGTTAATGTCGTGACGACTGGATCTTGTCTCGTATTGAGTTTGCTAAATGATGAAATGTGAGCGGTTTAATGATTTAATGGTTCCCGTATTTTTATAAATATAACTGTCTGTCCTTCAAAGTACTTTGTATTACAAGTTTCGGTTGCTTTTGTTAAAAAAAAAAAAAAAAAAAAAAAAAAAAAAAAAAAAAAAAAAAAAAATTGAAACATATGCTCTTAAAGCGCGAAAATACATGTGTCTTGAGCGATTATTAAAAAAATATAAAAAAACAATTAAATACTCCTATGATCAATATTCAAACCGTAATCCTATGTTTATCAACAATTTATCTTAATTTGCGCCATAAAAGTCACGTGTCACAATTTGTAACTAAATAAATTTTATTGAAAGCCATATTGAAATATAAATAATTAATATATTAACGAAGTGCTAAAGTTTTAAGGATGTTTTTGACCTTTTAGAATTTAATTGTATAGATTAACACAATAATCTTAATAGAAATTTTTAGATAAAAATAAAATATCACTGGCATTTTCAGCCCATTATGCGTCTCATATTAAATGTTCAAAATGTACAGACACAATACAAATATTTAATAGTATTTGGAAGTAGACGAAACCAAATGTAAAATGTCGATATGTTGTTATAAAATTTTTAGGACTTTATTCTGGATGGAGCTAAGCACCAGTAACCTCGGCTATGTCATGCAGTCGGATCTCTATGGTCGTAATGTTCAACCATTTTTCAACCACACGGAGGACTGCTCCTGCCCCTTTCGACCCACCATTCTACCAGTCTTCACAATCGATAATAGCGATCCCCAAAGTCCCGTTATCTATTGGATGTCGGCCGAAGACCAACTATACATCGCCGACATCGACGGATGTATCTGCAATTTAGTGCTAAATCCGGATAAAGATCGTGGCTTGCCTCCCACTTCCTTAACAACTGATAAAAATAACATATATTGGTCGAATATGAATACAGGGAAGATTCATTTTATCGATAAATTGACGTCGCCCGAGGATATTCATATCAAAGGCTACAAATTAAGCGACGTCAGGAGCATTAAAGCTATTGGCAAATCATTGCAGCCTTATCCGGACTCCGACTGCCTGATGCCTCAACGAGCTGCTTATAGCGTTCAAGAGGTGTCAAAAACATCTTCTAGTATCGTTATCAGACTACCCGAGCCCGCCGCTTACCTCGGCTGTGAAAAATACAATTTACCAGCGACCCTCTACTCCTTAGACATTGCCCAGTGTAAAACGATAATGGAGAATCGACATGATGACGATGCTTGTGAAAGCGATGGTAGCGTAAAGTATCAAACTTATTGGAAAGAGTTTGAGGTAAAGAATCTCAAGCCCTATTCGGAGTATCGTTTTAAGCTGACGTTGGCCAACTATTACGGCGATCAAGAATTCACAAACGTCGATCAATATGGACCGGGTATGATTTTAAAGACAGGCGCGGGTATCCCTTCGGAGCCTACAAATTTGAACGTTCAATCGTTAACTCCGACACTGGCTGTGATTAATTGGATTCCTCCACAAATGTGGAACGCGGACTTTTTGCGTTACAAAGTGTTTTGGAGATCGACCAAAGCTGCCAATGGCGTCAAATCCATGAGCGAAAGGAGCATTAAAGATGGCGAAGTGTCAGTGTTATTAGAGGCACTTCAACCGGGTCAAGAATATCTCGTTTACGTGAGAGCGTATCCTGAAAATTTCACAGACCTGTATAGCCAAAGCGAAGAGAAAGTCTTAAGAATGTATCCGGAACCAAATAATTTGACTGTTAGTGGAGTTACTCCGGAAGCATTGAACGTCAGTTGGTCACCGATGAATGATTTGCTTATTGATTACGATTTAGAATTTACGGCCAATGGCCTAGATAATTGGGAAACTGTTTCCCAATGCATTCTAGAAAATGACAGATTAATCTTTCAGATAACAAATTTGAAGCCCAATGAATATTATCAATTCAAGTTGATATTAAGATATCGAAATTATACGAAAGATTTTCTATGGCCTAATGACGGACGATTTACCTTTCAAACTCTTGGTAAGACGTGACATTGATAAAATGCATGAAAATCTTATTCTCATTTGTTCACTAATAAAAATAATAGAGCAATTTATCTATACCTCTAATTATTTATATATGAAAATTCACATATGTTCTTTAGAAGATATTCCATCAGCTCCCGGCACACCGTCGCTCATTAATTTGCAAACTTCGAATTATCAGCTGCATTGGGAACCAGCTACGAGTCTCGGTTATCAAGTTTTATCTTATTTTCTCGAGGGAATGGCGATTGGCCCATCTACCGAGCCGCCAACTCATCACAACGTCACAAACAAATGGAACACGCTCTACAATGGCACTGACAATCTTTGGAATATTCAACAGGACATGCACGAGAAATACTTATTCAGAGTTAGAGCTAAAAACGATTATGGCTTTGGGAATTGGAGTGAAAATAGTTCCATCGTCGATTTAACCGAAATGACAAGGGCAATGATTATCGCTCGGGAGCATCTAGGCCTTATTTTGGGTCTGAGCATCCCCGTAGTTACGATTGTACTATTATGCTTCTGCTACTGTCTATGCCGTAAGGATACTAAATAAAATTATGCAATGTTGTTTATTGTTGTTGTTGTTGTTGTTGTTGTTGTTGTTTTTTTTTTTTTTTTTTTTTTTGTTTTGTTTTAAAAACGTTTTTATTCTTCTATGCATTTAATACATGTTCTTTCATATATATGTACAGCGTTCCAAAAAAAGGCCAAGGAAGATCAGAAAAAAATTCCGATTAAAACTAAACCGCACGTGGAGCTGGCAACGCTCAGAGAAATACCGAGAGGAAATTTTGTCGAAACCAATGCTCTTTACGTAGCTGCGGTTGAAACGGATTCCGACGACTCGCTCTTACCTAAAATACAAAGGGAACAAATTTCTCTGGCCAAGTTTCTTGGAAGCGGAGCTTTCGGAGAGGTAGGTTTTACAATTCATAAGAGCTTCATCGTTTACGGCTAATATATATCATTGTTTACATACTTATTAATTTACAATTCAGCGAGATATCAAAATTTCACCAAGATTACAATGACTCGCATGCGAATATAGGAGATAAAATTAAGAACGTGTTACAGATGTATATATTACTTATTTTTACTGCTTATCAATCTCAAATAAATACATAAAATTACTAGGAATACTTTTCCATAATCCAAAATTTTAATAAAGCTATTTGGCAAATATTTGCGCTCCAATCAACTCGATTGATTGTAAAATTGCGTATTTAACGCTCATACGCCATACTCGCTTATAGTAGCCGTAAAATATCTCTCGAGTCCTCTTAAGCCATAGGGAACTTAAATTCGCACAGGTATTTCAAGGAGTCGCGAAGGACATCGACGGTCCTGGCTCGAAAATCCCGATAGCTGTAAAAACACTGCGCAAGGGAGCCTCCGCCCAGGAAAAGAGCGAATTCCTCCAGGAGGCCAAACTCATGAGCCACTTCCAGCACAAGCACGTGTTGCGTTTACTAGGAGTTTGCCTCGACACGGATCCGCCTCTGCTGTTGCTTGAGCTCATGGCTGGCGGTGACCTGTTGAGCTACTTGAGAACCAGCAGGCAAGCGATCGTTGCACTAGCATAACCAGTCTTTGCTTCGTCGATCAGCAATGCCTTTTATAAATAAAAACGATGCGATTCTTCGAGGTTGTCGCGAGGTCTTGCGTTCGCACGATCAATTCGACCAATCAATTTGCACAAGCCCCCGTAGCAATAGTACCCTTACGAATGATTATCTCGTTGGAAATTTCAAGACATACGATAATTTACAATTTTTCTATTTTACTTTCAGCCGTTTGAGCAATGTGCTTTTATTAACGCGTTTATTTCGGAAATACGGCACTTTAGAAAATGAAAAAAGATAAAAAGCTCCCTACGGAATTAATCGAATTTTCGATAATTCACAATGGCAATAGTAAGTTGCCGTACGTAATTGGCCTGAAATTTCATAAAATTACCCGTTACCTTTTATCGCATAGGCTTTTTATCTTCTCTTACTTTTAATTTATACTTACCAAGAATAATTTACAATTTAATTTCCATTGCCAATTAATTATACCTGTGTTACTTCATACGTCGTATCGCCAATAACGACTAATAGTTCTCGCGTAACAACGTTAACCGCCGTGACACTGTTGTTTGCACAATAGGGTTCGACGGCACTCATCGAGCCTATCGTAACTCGGCCCCATACTAAAAAGCAAATAAGCCTCTGATCGGCCGTATTTATTGATCAAAAGGGCCGATAATAACTCGCCAAGATCGTGCGATTATCTTAATTAACTAAATGGCGACGGCGGCGTCGAGGGCAACGATTGGCCGTATTTCATGGCAATTATAAACGAATTATCGCATTCAGCAGATCGCTCAAGCCGACGGACGCGGCAGCTCTGAGACTACAGGACCTCTTGTCGATGTGCGAGGACGTCGCGCAAGGTTGCCGCTACCTCGAGGAGCTTCACTTTGTGCATCGTGACTTGGCCTGCAGGAATTGCCTGGTGTCGGCGCGCGAACGCGAGCACCGAGTCGTCAAGATCGGCGACTTTGGCCTCGCTCGTGACATCTACAAGAATGACTACTACCGTAAGGTGCAGTAGCCAATGTACTCGTTATTCCAGCTGATGATCGAAACGTGTTTTATAATAACTCCCCTCGTTTTTCCACACGTTTCAATCAAGCTAATATGAAAAAGGAAGGCTAATCAAAGAGGAAAATTACATTAGCTTTTGCGTGAGTTTTAGGTCTGATTTTTTTGAGCTGTTACAGCAATCTTTTTACAATTTCTAAGAAATTTGATTGTTTGTTTATTTGTTTTTTTTTTCTTTCAAATGCTTACGTTATAATAACGAATTGAACATTTTCTATGCATTCGAAGTCCGTTAAAAAAATATTTGAACTATGCGCGCTATTGAATTATCTAATAACCGATGAATTGCAATTACATTGTGAATTACGAGAGAGAGAGAGAGAGAGAGAGAGAAAATACTAACTAGGAAATAACTTAATTCACTTTGTGTCCAAGCACTTAAGGAAGTAAGTGGGAAAAATCATAACGTAATGACGTGTCTATTTAATGCACATTAACCATAGTAAGGGACACGGAGCACATCGAGTTTACTATTTTAAGCGAACGGTAAAGTATTGAGACATTTTATACTGTAAAATTGTTCGGTTTTACTCACGCATTAGCAACTCGGTTACATTCTACACTTTAATAATCATTAGTCATTCGTCTTCATTCTACATTCGTTATACTGAATTTTATTAAATTAGCCACGCACTGAAGGATAAGTGAAGGCTAATTTGTATACACGAACTCTTTCAAACGTTAAAGAAACATTTTTAATCATTTTACGGCCAAGGCAGACAGTATTCTTTGCAAAATTATAAATACATAAGAAATTATCTAACGATTATTTAACAAAGCACCTTTAACGATAAATCATAATATGGAAAAATTCATTTTCGCTTGTGTATTTCTTATTTTTCAGAATTTTGTATAAAAAGTGTAATTAAAAATTAAAATGTTTGTAATTATTTGCATAGCTTATGCTAATTGCAAAAAAGAATAACAAATAATGACGGATAAATAATCTTGATCATCTATAAAGGAAGAAATAAATGTCAATTTAATAATATATAGTTTCGTTTGTAAATGTAACGGAAAAATTACCGATTTCATTTATTATGAATTTTTTCGTTGCAAATGTGAACTGCTATTGGCATTACTGGTCACAACGACAAAAAGTAACGAATTAAAAATAAATCCAATATTTTCTCATTTATAACATCTCATTATAAATTCACGCGCATGTTAAACGTGATATTACAATCGCTATAATCCACCCGGGAAACTGTAATTAATGTTGAAAATTGTAATAGCATAGTTAATAAATTGAAATTATATGTACATTGGATGACGGAGTACGGAGGTGCGGAGAACAATTAACACGTTCCATCTAGCTTATAAACAAATTTCAAAATTTTAAAATCCAATTAATATGCATTTCGTAGTTTGTGTGTGCTTACGGGCAAGTGAGAGTGAGTACGTGCAATACCTGTATAATGACAAAAGAAAAATCTTCTCTCGTTTAATTGAAATATCCATCCATGTACCGAAGTCGAGTGTCGAGCGGTCGTACTTTAAAGCATAATTGCCGACGTCCATAAAGCGAATTGATATGTAATTAATGGAAGGTCATGTGAAGCCAGAAATACATCGTTATAATTTCCTCCTAACCGTCCTCATTAGCGTAAGACAAAAAGTTCATGCGATATGGATAAAGCGTGACTTGTAACCTCGATACGCGATGTGGGCAGAACTCATAACTTGTTTAACGATCGCCATTCTCCTCTTCTTCGCCCGCGAGCAGGAAGGCGAAGGTCTGCTGCCGGTGCGGTGGATGGCCCCGGAGTCGCTGGTCGACGGGGTATTCACGTCGCAGAGCGACGTTTGGGCCTTCGGCGTCCTCATGTGGGAGATCACGTCGCTTGGCCAACAACCTTACCAAGCCCGTACGAACCTCGAGGTGTTGCACCACGTGAGGGCCGGCGGTCGACTGCCGAAGCCGCTCAACTGTCCGGCGAGGTTGCACCAGCTGATGCTCAACTGCTGGAGCGCCGTCGACTCCAGGCCGAGCTTCAAGCTTTGCCTCGAGCACATCGTCGCGCTCAGGAACAACACCGACGACTCCACCCTCAGCCCCGTTAATCCCGGCCAATTTCTCGTTCACGGTAAGAGCTCTTGCCTGTTTCGCGCGTTTAGCCGCTTCGAAGACCAGTGAAATAATTGTCTTGCTAGTCGAAGGGCCGATAAACCATCGGTTTTCCCTACGCTCAAATCGAGCTCGCACTTTGTTTCTACTGTACATTGAAGTTTGGTCGACACTGTAGCTAATAAGAAAAGGTACATTTCAATACAGATTTAACTTTAGTTATCTGTGCTAAAAACAAATAGCATACATACAACAGAAATTAACAGAAATTTATCGTTTTATGCACAAGCCCTAGATTTATGTATTAATATAATAATATCTATCACTACGATTTTTTAATCTACAAAAACAAAATTAAATAAAATAAATACACACGCATACGCGCGCGCACACACACACACACACACACACACACACAAACACACATATATATTTGTTTGTCTATGTATGTAAAATAAGAAAATATTCATTTTTCGATCTTGCAGGAAATATTTATAAGTCGAATCACTTTAAAGACAACTTGAGCATTCGTTCGTTGATTCAAGACTCCGATAATTCGAAACCGAATTTGGGACCAAAGTATTCCTGGCTACTTGATAATGCTTTAGAAGCCGACGAAATGAAAAATCCAAGAGCGGCTTATGAAATACCAAAATCCATACCTGTCCTATTGGAAAACACAGCTCACAATGAAAGTAGATATATAGAAATATGTGGCAACGAGCAAAATAAAGAGAAGGAACTGACGATAATGCCAACAGTGGGATGTTACAATGATTTGAACAGTACAATTACGCAAAGCGAAATGCTAGATGAAAATCCAAGATGGAATAGAACGTCGGTGACTAGTCTGAATTTATTGGAGAAGAAGAACGATAAGACAAACGCAACGGACAAGCGATCTTCCACTGCCAGTTTAGGGGAAAAATTCAAATCCGCTGAGGCTATAAAACAATCTGGATCTTATGCTAGATTGGTAGGGAATGGAGAATCAGTTTCTTCGCTGAGCGATTGGAGAAGAGTCAAGAAGATTGTCGGCGATGAAAGAGAGAAGCTCAATGTAGAAAGAAATAATTCGGATGAAATTAAAAGCAACGACTCGTCCGGGACATCACCTTCGATATGTTATTCTATGGTAACATTCTCCCAAACTGTTGCCGAACAAAGATTCGCCCCGACAAATAACAATGACGCAAATAAAGCTATATTTACAAAGTTACAAAGATCAAAGTCTAATTTACAAAACAGTAAGGCTAACATTCCATTGGTAATCAATAGTGCACTTCTCAATTTACTGAGACAAGCGCCAGATGTCGAAGATGAAAACGACGATGTGACATATGCAAACATCAATTCAGACATTGTTAATGTGACTGATTTGTAACTTGTTTACTATTATTATTATTTTTTTTTTGGTTTTTTTTTTTTTTTTTTTTTTTTTTAATATAAATGTATTCTAGTTTTTTTTAGTTTATTTTTATACGTAGGCTAAAATATTCCATTGAAAGCAAAAGTAAGGAGTAACGAGCAACACGGTACTTTAAAATCATTGTAAATTAAAAAAAAAACTATCAACAATGTACGGCCATTCAATGAATTGAACTAAAATCAAATTTCAGGCAATATTTGCATAAATATAAATCTCAATGCTACTAAATACGTAAATACGTATAATAAAATACAATAAAATACGTAAGAAATATGTGAAGCTAACGATAAGCATCGGTAAACAAAACGTTAAACTTCAATAAATATATTTGTAATAATTTCAATGAAATATTCCACATTGAGTATTTATAAAAATAGCATTTAATTTGTAAATTATTAAAAATTCTCCAATATATTGGATAATTTAAGAATGACAAAGTTTGTTACAAAAACGAAAATGGTTATTTAAGCGTTCGATTTCACTTATACGCTATAATGTGTAATACATTTAAGTTTGTCACACGCGCACGCACACACACACGCGCGCGCGCACGCACCCACGAACACGCAACACGTGTATACCAAAGTATTTTTAATTTAAGAAAAGTTAATTTTGTAAGATATTGAAATACATTTTTATACAAAAAAATTATGCCGTGAAAATGTGAAATGTAAGCTTATTTATTTCCTGAATTAATTTTTTTACTTTTATAATAAACTAAACTATAAATATATATTTTAATATTATCCACTAATACATATTGGATCATTAAAGATACTTCACACAAAAAAACTTTCTCATAAAATGAGAAAAGAGGCTCTTTCTAAAAATTTTAGATATTTATGATTAAACAATGTTGATATTATTTTTAAAATAAATAAACATTCTTAAATGAGTAAGAATTATACAAAAAATATTCCTTTATAAATATCAATATAGAAATATATTCAGATATTGTATACTTATAATAATAACAATGTTAAGGGATAAAGTAAATCTAAATTTATCATATTTTACATTTTCTTAATACATTATACAATGTATACCCATTATCTTCAACATACCTTTTAAATTATTGTTCTTGTAAGAGCTTAATTAAAGATTATCGTTTCACTTTTAGTTTTACGGATAAATAAAATCTCAATGTTTCCTAAAAAATGCAACTATTATTATAATTTATAAGGACTCTGAATTATAAAAAAAAATTGATAATATTACTCTAATCATAATAATCTATGCATATTTAGAAAAATTTTTATCTATTTAGTATAATAACATGTGATACAGTATTGCAGGCGATCCCTGGATGTTGAATTTTCGCTTCTTATAAAGTATTTTGCTCAAAAATATGCCACATCTAAAGAAAATAATATAATGATACAATATTAGATTGCATATAATAAAATGCTTTATTTTATTTAAAACTATCGCTTGTATAATAAATTAAAGCAAACTTTTTGCTTAGTATGTACAATAATAGAAGAGAGAGGAACCGCCTATTAAGAATATTTCAAAATATATAAAAACTAACTTTTATGCTTATTAATTATTGACTTACTTAAGTTTCATTAACATCGTCGTCTTGATTTTCATCTTTACTTTGTTCGTGTAATACAACATACTCTCTCGTACTAAATCCAAACTTTATCACGTCTCTTTCCAACAGTTCGTGAAATCTCTTTGGCTCTAATTTGACATCATTAACAAAGGTACCATTAGCCGATTCTAAATCAATTAAATATGGTCTTATTTTTTTCCCTTCCGTTCCATTTTCTCTTTTATAAGAAACTAAACGATATTGTAAAGCTGCGTGTTGCTTAGAACAAGAAGGATGATCTAGTGGAATATCCGCAATTTTTCTATCTCTACCCATTAAATATGCCGATTGTCTGTGAATGTATAGCACCGGTAAGGCTTTTTCCCCTTTAAACGGATAAAGACGCCACCGACGTTTTGGCTTTCGTGCGTCCAATGGCTCTGTATATTTTATCACAACTCCATTAACGGTATTTGTATCTTCGGTTAATTTTCCGGAAGTCTGAAAATTTGGCTTTTCTTTTTCTTGCGGTTTAGACTTTGATTCCTGCTTGATCGTCGCTTTTCCCCATTCTGGCGATGATTCCTTTTTTACAAATGCCTAAAAGGAAAAGAAAATTTGGTTAAATATTTCAAAAATACAAGCTCATACATTGTCGAATAATTAGTTATTTATAGTACTGAAAAGTCTTATTATACATAATGGAAAGCCCTATCATACGAAAGGCGCCTATTAAGATTTTACACAAATTTTCAATTCAACTGTTCCCTTAAGAACTTTAAGAAGTACATAAAGCCGACGCTATTCAAGGATAACGAAAGCTGTAATTGTCAACAAAAAAATGTCGAATGTGTTATAAGTAATAATAATGATTGGATACGTCAGCAAAAGGCAAGTATAAAAATAGTTTGCTTACTTGCTCAAAGCGCGATTTCTTCACTCTATCGTTTCTCGTGGGCTTGTCATCGTAATCGCGACTCCTGTTATATTGTTGCTTGTCGTCGTAACTCCTGTACTGCTTATCGTCGCTGTCGCGATATCTATTCTCTTCGTGTCCGTGATGCTTATCGTCGTCCTCGTATCCGCGGTGCCGTTTATTCTCGGACGATTCCCGGTGTTGACGCGAACGACCTTCGTCCCTCCTTCCCTTGCCGTGATAGTCGTCCTCACTTTTACGCTTACGTTCGTTGTGGTGATGATGCTGATCGGGTGCACGCCGACTGTCCCAGCTGTGTCGAACTCTCGTCTCCGACATAATTTTCTTTTATATACAAATATGTAAAACTTGTGACTCCCACAAGTTATGTTGCTTATTTAAAGTATTGCTTCATATGTGTCAATAAGAGAGCGAGGAATATCTTTCTAAGCTCGAGCTTTGATGATATTTCTAACCTCAACAATGTTTTGGATCTGATTCTGTAATGACTACTGATCAACAGAAAAAATAATATAAATGGCGGAAAATATATGATTCGCTAGACAGTCTTACCAACGATTTTATTTCGGCTTCTTATATTTTTTATTTATCACTTATGCCAGTGCTCTATTAATACATTGTAATAAAATATGTGCACGATCTATTTTACATTGAATACACTATACCCAGCCATTGGTTAATTACAATTTTTAATAGACAGGGGAGATTTTTTTTTTTTTTTTCTTTTTTTCTTTTATTGAACCTTAAATTTGGCTGCTCAATCCTTACGATGAAAGCTTAGGTATCCCAAGTCTTAAGATACGATGGATTTTCTTACACTCCCTAAGGCTGCATTTGACGAAAATGTTAATATTACCTTATCATTGTCCCGCTGTACATTTCAATATTATTGAAAAGTGTTCGAATCAAGTGTAACATTTGACGAACGATATTTATAATAATTTACTTCTTTGAAATCCAACAAAACAAATTTAGTATATATATATATATATATATATAGTGATAATGTCAGCAGGTAGAGTCAATGTGGCAAAATGCGAATTTGATTTTGCGCCATGACAAGCGCGTCTTTCAAAATACGAAGGGAGGATAATTCGAGGGTAAGAAAATCAAGTAAATCGCAAATTTGGAATATTGAAAAAATTTCTATTAATAATAATCGCTTTAAAATCATAATCAAGTTCTATAGTTTAAGAATATTACGAGTAGCTGGCTACGAGCAGCTGGCATTTAACGAATCGCATGATTGAACGAATCGATGCATAAATCTAAAAATATCCAAGGAAAAAGCGACGAGGAAAGATTTTTATCATTCAGACACTGACAAAGAGTTACGATGAAAAAGTCCGAATTGTCATATGGAAAATTTCATTTTCGTAATGTGTAACGTGCAAATTTATTTCATTACATTAACATTAAGATAATTAGAATTTAAATTGGAAATCTGAGCATAAGCTTACGCACCTTATTTAATTTAATCTGTTTATGGATGAAAACGGGGGTGATAGTCGATACAGAATACAGTGTACAATGCTGCTTGTTTTGGCAAACGGAGTAACCCTTCAAAAAGTCGAACACATCCGAAGTCTTAACGGACATTTCCGAAAAAGAGCCGCCATCATTTCTCATTATAGATGTTCGGCTTCGTATGACTGTATAATTTATCCGCAATTTACGTTTATGGTTTCCAAAGTATCGTTTGATTATTTACTCAGTGATAAAAACAGTACGTTATTTTATTCATCGGAAGTGTAAATAAGTATAAATAATAATGAGCGATTTATTTGATATTGCAAATTTAATAACAACTGTGGGGGTGGACGCGGTGAAGATAAAACCAGAGCCTGGACTTCCACAAAAATCTTCGAATGAAATTCTCACCGAACTCTTTAGCACATTTAATGTTCCTCATGGCATTGATGACGATGACGACGATGAGGATGATGATGATGAAGTAGATTCAGACTCCGATACGAGCAATGTTAATAGCGAAAAAAGGGATAAATCGACGAAGAAGAACCAGTCACCACCAGTAAAAAAACTAGATGTAAATATAAAAACAGAAAAGGTAGATGAGAAAAAAGAATCTGGATTAGTTTCTAAAAAAAAGAAAGTCAAGAAGAAGTGCAAACATAAAAATGAAAGTAAAGATAAAGAAAAAAAGCACAAGCACAAGAAAAAATTGAAGCATAATTCTTCAGAAAGTGCCAGTGACCACGAGAATGGAGGTTAATTGAATTTTGTGTTAGCAAATAAAAATCGTTTTATCAACCATGTATATATTGTATTTGTAACTATTTATATTGATAGATAATTTATAAGTAATTTAACAAAACACTTTAATTTCTATTTAATTATTTATACTTATTACTTAGTAGCACTTATTACTTAGTCATCGATAACGATAATAATTTTGATTAATGTTAACATTCAATTTTATTGTTCAGGGTCAAAGAAGAAAAAGAAGAGAAAGAAATCAAAACGCAAATACGATTCGGATGATAAAAGTTCGGATGTTGACGAACCAATTTCAAAGATTAAAAAATTAAATAAGATTAATAAAGAGAAATCGAAAGATCATACTAAATCAAATGGTATGAGCTATAATTTATCATCATAATTGAAAAAAAATAATATTTATATATTATTTAGCATTTTATTTATAGCTGTACATGTACAATATAGATTATATTACAATTATAATTAATATTGATTACTTTTTTCAAATTTTTTTATAGAAAAGTCGAAATTTGAAACATTAGAAACAATTAAAATTAAAAAAGAAAAAAAAGAAGAAAGTGAAATTCCTAAGGTAAAGGAAACTAGTCCGCCTCGTCCATCTTTATCCATACCTAAAATATTAGGCGATGATGCAGAAGCGCCTGAAGTACCAAAATTAATTGGTTAGTAGCTACATTATAATTTAGTCCGATTAGTTACTTTTATTGTAAAAGGAACAACAATCGGTAAAAATTTAATAAAAGAATGAAAATATTCTTATATATATATATATATATTAAGTCAGAACATTCTATTTTTATACTTAGTATCTTATAATTTAAGGTAGCTTTTTTATCTATTTTGAACACTTTTTGATTTAATAACATACTGTCGTTATTAATTGCAATATATAATACTAGTGTCTCTTAAAAATATTATGTTTTATTAAAATTTTGTTTACATATTATATATAGATATTTTAAATGTTATTTAGTAGATATAAAATTTCATAGTATACAGAAAACGTCTTTTATTATTTCACTTATTAAATTTCACAGAAAAGGTTAAAAATCCTGTACCGTGTAAGATTCTCATAAAAGACTTGAAGAATAGCGAAGTGTATAATAACGCCATAAAAGAAGTGGAAAACAAAAAGAAAGAAAAAGCTGAGCGAATGGAAGACGGTGAGTTATCGGATAGCGGCGAAGACGAAACAACCGAGGCCGATACGAACCGAACACCGACCCTCAGTCCGACACCTCCACTTGATCGATCCTCCACCGTTGGCGTACGCCCGGATCGCAGTAAATACTCAACCAGCCCCTCGGCTTCGAAATACACCACAAAAAAAAGCGATCTCAGGCACGTACTTAAAGAGAAGGAGAAAAAAAAGCATAGAGGAAGTAGCAAATCTAGATCCAAGAGTGATAGAAAAGACAGCAAAGTGGATCGTCATAAAAGTAAGGATCGAAATCATGGTAGAAGTCGGAGCTGTCGTTCACGAGACAGAAGAACTCGAAGTCGAAGTGGTAATCTCTACAAGCCTTACCCTTCAATATCAATTAAAATATAAGGATTATATTTCTTAAATTCATTTTATTGAATAGTTATTAAATTTCATTTGTGTGTAAATTAATTGTATTTCATTCTTTTATTATTGCACGGATAAAATGCGATAAAATACTTTCCTTTTTTTTTTAATATTTGTTGATTCACATTTGTGATTAGTGTTTAAACGCTAATGATTACAAACTCACTTTAAATATTAAGCCGTAATGAAAATAGCAAATAAAATAATAAAGAATAAGATCGAATATTTTTAACAATTCAATTTCTTTTAATTGATTAAAATTTTTAACTGTAATAGGTGATAAAAGTAGACATGGTAGAGGTAGGAGTAGAGAACGACGGGATAGCAGACGGGACGGTATCAGTGACAAGGATAGGTACTCAAAGGATAACAATGACAGATACAGGAGTCGTAGCGAAGATAGAGATAGGAATAAATGGAGAGGACGTAGCAGGAGCAGAGAAAGAAAGTAAGTATCTAAATTATAAGATTTGATTAATCGGGCATCAAAGCTTTTTTTCAAAATTTTCATCAAAGTTGTGAATTTTATAATGTATAATTTATGTAATTAAACGTTCGTAGTAAGACTCGTGAATCCTTATTTGGTAATAACAATTTTATATAGAAATATTTTATTGTTTTTAAAAGACTTTTTAACTTTTTAGAGAACGTATAGAGATAGATAAGAAAAAACTCTTGGAAATTGCTAGGCGAAATGCAATAAATATGATAATGAAAGGAAAATTGCCATTAGCTCAGCAAGATAAAGCTATCGCTGCAATTCAAGCTGGTGGAAAAACTATTGATGAACTAACAGGTACATATATACTATTACCAAGCTAGAATACATTATTTCATTTTCCATGCATGAAAGATGCCAATAAAGCTTAATAATTATTATGCAATTTTAGACTTCTGTAAATCTTTATCGAAATCTGAAGCCATGGGAGAATTATCAAGTATATCATCGGGTGATGAAAGTAGCTCGGAGAAAGGTTTTCATCATCCGTTTCTTATTAAAGAACGACCGAGTTCTATAATCATGAACATTCGAGTTAGTAGTCCTAAATATTTAAGGCTTCAATTAAAAATGTATGTATATATTAATCAATAAATATTAATTTTAGGATGCTAAACAGTTACCAACTAAAACTTTATTGGAAAAGACAACGGAAGCTACAAATCAGTTACGATTACAATTTCCCGTATCTAGTGGTCAACAGCACAGAAAAACTGGTAAATAACAGAAAAATATCTTTTAATTATTTTTATTTTAATCTCACGCATTACTTTAAATACGTATATCAAAACAATAAGTATTAAATAATTGTTTAGTATCTCTGTTCCTAAAGAAAAATTATGTTTTAGAAAGTGAATGGATTCCAGTAACACCAAAGCCAAATCGAAGTACAAAACCAGAACCAAAAAAATTATTTATTCCTGCTAAAGAAGTTTTCCATACCATTCAACAACCTGTCTTAGTTCCACCGCTTCAATCTATAGAATCTGTTTCTCAAATAATTTCTGCCGATATTCCAATTATGCAATCTATTCCGATAGCTCAGTCAGTTCAGCAACAATCTATCTTTCCTACAATTTCTAACGAAGTTAGTATAAGTTCCACTCATCTCAACATTTTACGTCGAAATATCATTATTCTTATTCTTATTTTAATTTTTTAGCATGTTGATATTAGTACAATAGTGTCACAAAGGTTAGCAGCTATGAGAAAATTATCAGAAAATCCAAATGACATTCAGGCTCTTAATGAAATGTACAAAGCACAAAATGGGGTAAATTAAATTTTGCTTTGTTAAAAAATTAATTTGAAGGATTATTTTCGATGATTACTTGCATTTACGTTAATTTAAATTCCGTCTTCGTATATTACTTTTTACATTTCGTATGCTATAATTTGCCGATTAAAATTTAAGTAAAATAAATCCTATTAATATACGGCGAAGTATAAATGCAATAATTTTGACGTAATTAATTAATGTCGTTGATCGATTAACTAACTAGTGATGCACATAAACGATGATATCTATTAAAAACCTTATACAAAATTTTTCTTTCATCTTTTTTTTAAATATTAAAAATTTCATGTTACATATTTCATGTACAATAAGTTTTTAATGCTCGTATAAAAAAAGTAATTTTTAACTCTTATAAATTGACTTTATAATTAATGGATTTCATAGGATACTTGGAAATATTTACCTCCTAAATTACTACTATTTCTACGAAACTTGTAAATGTGTACTTCGTATCAAAGAAAAGAACTATTAATACCTAATGAATATTATTAAATAATCATTTCTTCATTTTCATAAAGAGAAAAAAAAATTTAATTATTTTTTAGATGAAATCGTGGATAGAAAGTAAACAAGTCCCAGGACAGTTTACTGGTAGCACTGGGGCAAAGGTACTTTCGCCAGCAGAATTAAATTCGGGACAACAAGCTTGGGCTCGAAAGGTAACAAATTATAAAACAGAATCCATAGCTTACATGCACTTCCACAGTTTTTGCCTTAAAGTTTGTAAATTTTTAATACACAATTAAGAATTTAGAAACCTTTAGTCCTCTGAAAAAAGTAAATAATATAAAAATTATTTTGAAAATCGCATTTGATTGTAAATGTGTGACTTTGTCTGTAACAAGTTTTCAGGTGCAGTCTTGTTAAATATCAGATTGTTATGAGTTTGGTATTGCAAAGACTGTGTTGCAGGCACAGACCATTTCTTACAAAGAGGTGGATTCTGTGGCTGCTCGGACACGAAAGGATCATTGTAAAAGAATGAAAAATTACATCTAAACAATGGTTTTTTTGTGAGATTACTGCTGAATTCAGTATCAGCCTATTTTCAATATAATTTTCTTCTTTATTTTTAAAAGAGAACAGATGTTGGTGTTATTGTAAATATTACCTCTTCTAAATAAAATACGTTACAAAAACTTTAAGAACTTATGCGGTACATAGAAATATTTTTATAAAAAGTTTAAAGTAATACTTTAATATAGATACCTCACTGAAATTTTGTAACAAAAGCAGTAATTTTATCATCGGGCTGGTTCAGGAATTTAGTAGCAATCTGCATCCACCTGAGGGTTTGTTACAGGCACTTATCTATATTGGAAAAGGACCATCGACCGCAGCCTGAAGTTTCTGATTTTACTGCTCATTTGGTAAGTATTCCGAACGTCGAAAGTAATTAAAACCCAGTGTTAATCTTACGCTTAATAATTTTCTGAATGTATACTTCACTTTTTATTTTCATAATAAACATATATACAGTTTATGATAATTACTTTATCTACACAAACATACACCTATGCCACCTATTATTCAAGAACTATTCATGCCATGTTATTGTTTATTTATATTTTTATTAAGTATGTAATTTTTTGTAAGTTTTTATATCCCACACTATTCAAAAATACAAAATAATAATATCTTTGTATCTCTTGACATTAGGATATTATATTCATAAAACACATTTCAAAAGTGAAAGATATTCATTTTTTAAATTCAACTTGAATACTAAATAATAATCAGCCTTTTCGTAACAAACAATCAATAAATCAATATTTACTTTAACATAAAAACAATAATTTTTATGATAACACCATTCGTTTGGTAAGCAAATAATCATTGTAATATATTTTTGTTTTTCAACTAATTTAATTACATAGGATCAGTTATTAACGGCACAGCCAGTCTCAGGGGGTATGGGAATGGCATTACTACAAAAAATGGGTTGGAAGCCCGGGGAGGGTTTAGGAAAAAATAAAGAGGGTACTTTGGAGCCATTGCAATTGGAGGTAAAATTGGACAAAAGAGGTTTAATTTCTGATCAAGATATTATAGTATCGAAAATTGGAAAAGCACCTAAAGTACCTGCACCTATAACCAAAACCTTGGAAGGTAAATTTGTGCCACTTATTTCCAATATAGAATATAATCAATTTCTTTTTTTCTTCTTCAATTCTTAAGACTTTCATGTATTATATATTAATTGTTTAAGAAGGATTTTTTTTTTATACTTTTTATAAATTTAACGAACGAGTATAATTATATATATAAAAAAAAAAAGAAACAAAAAAAAACAAAAAAAAAAAACAGAAAAATGCAGTATTAATTTGCTTTATCAACGGCTTTAAAGCATAATTGATTAGAACTATTTATATTTGAACTAAAATATATTTTAGTTATATTTACGAAAAAATTTTGTTTGAAATCGTTCGCAAATCTAACTTTTAAATAAAACTAATAATTAATAAATAAAATATCTTTTTGATTTTATAATTTTATTTAATCAATTATATATAAAAAAAAAAATATATATATATATACACACACAAACAGGCGCACGCGCACACGCACAATTTAATTGATTAATTAATTTATATTATTGTTTATTTGTAGGTAAACATCCAGTTTCACTTTTGGGAGAATATTGCTCAAAATGTAAATATGGGGCACCAGTGTATGAATTATGTTTCGAGTGTGGTCCAGATCATAAGAAAAATTTTCTTTTCAAAGTAAATATATTTTTTATTAATATTATATTAAAATAATTCGAGTATAGTTTTAAAATTTTTCTCTACTGTTTTAGGTGAAAGTTAATGGTATTGAATATAAACCAGCCATCGCAAGTCCAAATAAAAAATTAGCCAAAGCCGAAGCTGCTCAAGTCTGTTTACAAACTATAGGTCTTTTACCATCTAATTGAAATAGCCAAGTTTTTTTTTATAAAAAAAAATTCAATATTTACGAATATTAAGTTATAAAATAGATATAATATTAAAAATCCAGTCAATTATATATATTTTATTGATTTATATTAGTACATGTAACACACAAGTTATTATATTTAATTGTTACTATGTAGATAGTGTAAATATGTAATTAAATATCTGTATGTATGACGTTTAAAAATACAAAAAATATTCTATTGGATAAAAGATTAAAAGCTGTGCTTTTATAATACTAAAACACATATTTTTAGCATTTAAATTTCAGCATACAGAAAAATTATATTAATAATTATGGTATAAATAGCGTTTTGTTTATATATATCCATATATATATATATATATATATATATATAGAAATTTTACAATTATTTTTAATGGAAAATCAAAAAGTTCATATTCTATGCAATTCATATAAACTATATCCTGGAATATTCGTCAAATATAATATACGTTAATTCCTTTGCATTAATATAGCTTATTCGTGCAATAGCGTTAACATTCTCAAATCCTTTAATTGAAATACTCAAGAATTCTCGAATGCATAAATCGAATGCAAGATAAATAAATCTTAAACGTATTTAATTAATATGTTTTATTTTGATATAAAGTAAATTGTTGTGTATAATTTTTTTCTTATTTTGACATGTAATTTTATTAAATGTATTAATTATTATTACTTATATTATTTTAATTGTACATAATTTTAATGTTGAGAAATTTTAATCGACGTTTTAAATTTTTGTTAAATCAATCAACGAAACATTCAATGTGAAAAATATTTAAGTTAATTAAATTACATAAATAAGAAGTAATTGTACGCTTAATTATATTTAATTTGTTTCTTGTTGTCTATATTGTAATAAAATTAATTATATCCGGATAATGTTATTTTTAACACTACTTGTTTCTTTTCACCCGTCCCATTTACCAACGAACATTGCGCTCATTAAACACTTCACAGAGCAACAAATAACCGACTATTGAATTATCATCATCGATGACAATAATGGAATTAATCAAATAATCAAAGGTGAACATTTGACCAATGGGAATACAGTTGTAGTACCAAACTTTTCATATAATTAATTCCCCTGCAACTTGTTCTCTATTTTCTATTTAACGAACAATCGAATACAAACCAAAACCAAAACGAAATGTAAGCATTACTATGAAGTAAGACGCCTCAAAATTTGTAATCCTAGACAAAAATTCAACCCTTACTTTTTGAAAATACAAATACCCATATCGCTTTTAAGTTTTTTTTTTTTTTTCGTCTTTTTTTCCAACAGCCGAGTCGAGCAGAAATTTTCTTTAGAGTCGTTCTACGCAGAATCGAGGCTGCACCATCTGTTTTAATTTTGTTTTCGTAAACCCATAGATTACGTACATTAGTGGTGCAATTAATTTAAAGTAAGGAAAGATTAAAGGGTTTTGAAGATGTGAGGAAATGATATTTAATTAACGAGGGAGAAGTCGAATTTTAAAAAAGGAGGGCATATGAAATGACATCGTTTAATGTGAAAATATTTTCTAAAGCTGAAGAAAAATGGAACAAAGCCGAAACTTTATCTTCCAAATCGGAAGATATAACAATAAAAGCAAATTTCAATTGCCCCAAAATAACGGAAAAAAATAATATTAAATCATTACTCACTGGCAATGAAAATATTTTAAATAGCGTAGAATTGGATAGTAATTTGACACAATTTAGCAAAGAATTCGACATTGTTGATAATAGTGAAACAAATTATTTACAAGATTTATCATTTAATCAAATTTCCAACGAATCTAGATTTTTTATAGAGAACGAAGTACAATATAGCAATAACAATGATCGCTTAAAATCTGTACGATCAAAGCATAATGTATTTAAACAATATGGTAAAGATATATGCGGTGACTTAAATGATTCTGTAAATTTATTAAAATCAAAGTTATTTACACCATATAAGGATGAAGTAATTCCCATAAAACGAAAATATCTAGATTTTGGTAATACTAATTTACAGCCGTACCCAGTCTCTTTTTATGGTTTGCCTAATAGAGTAAAAGAGCTTATCAAAAATATTAAGGGCATAGATAAACTTTATGGTAAATTTTCATTTTAAAATTTTTTTTTCTATTAAAAAGAGCATATACATGTGTTAAATTAATCGATCCATGCTTTATAGATTGGCAAAATGAATGTCTGTCCATGAAAGTTGTGAACGATAGGCAAAATTTCATATATGCCTTACCAACTAGCGGAGGAAAAACTTTAGTTGCAGAAATTTTAATGCTTAAAGAAATTATTTGCTATAAAAGGAATGCAATCTTTATTCTGCCGTTTGTTGCCTTAGTCCAAGAAAAAGTAGTTTCAAAATGTATTATACGACCAACCATTTATGTATATGGATATCAAGTTTTGAACTTATATTCAATTTTAGGTACAATCGCTGATACCATTCGCTTTAGAATTAAATTTTTTAATTGAAGAATATGCAGCTGAAAAGGGCCATTATCCCCCAAGAAAACGTAGAAAGAAAAATAGTATTTATATATGTACCATAGAAAAAGCACAGAGTATAATTAATTGTCTCATAGAACTGGATCGCCTTAATGAAGTATTTAAAATGTTATACTGCTTAAGAATTAATTTAATTTTAATATAAGTGAGATTATAATTTACTCTTTTCACAGATAGGAATTATTGTTGTTGATGAATTACATTTATTGGGGGAGAGCGGAGGTAGAGGCGCTACATTGGAATGTTTATTAACCAAAGTAATACATGTCAATTGTATGTATGTTATAGCAATTAATTTAGATAATTTTCAATTTATATAATGGTTATTTTAAGAAAATGAACACAATAAAATATACTTTCGAAACAATTTTATTATCAAATCACTAAATTATAGAGTATGCTTATTTTCCAATTAGAAAACCACAAGTTTAATAAATTTGTATAAATTTTATTTGTTTTAAAAAGCCTTTTTTGAAATATTATTAAATTAAATACATACAAATTGTGGCCAATAACTCATGCTTGCTTTATTGCACCGCAAATTACATATGTTTAACAATTGGCATAACTAATTTACTCTGATTTTTCTTTTTTAGCTAATATTCAGATTATCGGGATGAGTGCAACGATAGGTAATTTAAAAGAAATATCTACTTTTTTGAACGCAGAAATGTATGTTCATAATTTTAGACCAATTGCCATCAAAGAATATGTTAAGTGTGAAAGTGAAATTTGGCTCGTCGATTCTAGAACAGAAGAATTATTTACAGATAAAAAGATAATAAATTATAAAGTTAGTTTTGCTCTCATTTACATTATTTATAAATGATATATACTGATATGAGAAATATAATTGCAGTATTCTGAAAAGGCGCTTCAACTAGATCCAGATTATTTAGGTGGTCTAGTGATGGATGTGGTGCCAAATGATTCTTGCCTTATATTCTGCTCGAGTAAAAAAAATTGTGAAAATGTGGCGATGCTTTTAACTCGCGTGCTATTTAAGTAATAATATTGTTGATTATTATTTTATTATACGCTACTGGAGAAATTACATTTCGTTCATTTTATTATTTAGATCGCTAGAAAGTCATAAAGTAGATGAGAAATTGGTGCTTCTTAATGCTCTGAAAAATGAAAGTGACAAAATTTGTCCAATACTAAAGAAAACTATTAAATTTGGAGTGGCTTACCATCATTCAGGACTTACAGCCGAAGAACGACGATTATTAGAAGAAGCTTTCAGATCAGGAATATTGTGCGTAATAAGTTGTACATCGACATTAGCCGCTGGTGTTAATCTTCCAGCGAGAAGAGTATGCATTCTCATCTTATTAGCGAATAACTTTTATCAAAATATTTTCATTATGTATATGTCAATATATATATATATATATATATATATATATACATCATGAATTTGATTTGCACGAATTGCAGCAACAACATCTTATGCTTTTATGAAATTAATTTATACTTATGTAACAGAATTTTCATATTTATTACAGTAATTATTACATTGATTTTAATGTGTTTAATAAGGAAACACATACAATCACTGTATCTTAGAATTAAGTGTAAAATAGAAATATTGATAAAAATTTGTATGTTACAGGTAATTTTACGATCTCCGTATATCGGTCTTCAATTTCTAAATATAAGTCGATATAAACAAATGATTGGAAGAGCAGGCAGAGCCGGTATGGGGGAAATTGGTGAAAGCATATTAATCTGCACGAGAAAGGATATCGTAAAGGTAAATTAATGATTTTCCGATTTTCAATTTTGAATGTAGCTGTTATTTAAAAGCTAGTGTATATTGTAATTTAGATACGTGAGCTTTTAAGTTCAAAAATGGATGAGGCCATAACTTCACTTCATATAGAAAAAGATCGTGGTATGAACAATATAATAATAAGTTCGGTGCTATTGTCCATTGCTAAGACGCGATTCGATTTACACAACATTCTATCAAAAACGCTGCTTAATATAAATATTAAAGAAGTTACAGACAAGGCTTTGGTTTCACTTTTAAAAAGTGGTATTATCAGAGCGAAGGAGAAAAATTCAGCCGATACAACTTCCCAAAAGCTCGATAGTACGGTAATTTTTCCAACGCAAAATAACGCTTTGACTGATGGTGAATCAACGAGCGAGGAAAAAGAAAAGAAAAAGTGTATTGTTTTAATAAATAGTACAGAGTTAGAGCTTTGTCCTCTTGGACGAGCTGCGATGAAAGGTAATGAATTAAAGGACATATTGAGTGACTTGTATGCGCGTGAAAATTAATTTAACGAAATCTTATGTGTGTGTATGTGTTTAAATAATGAAATTAAAATTTTTGTTTCTTCTAATAAAATTTTTTTTTAAAAATGTTTTAAAATGTTTCCTGCGAAGAGAGTGTGATTTTAAAAATTATTAACGTATACAGACGAACGTTTATTAACATTTAATGGTAAATACAAAATACACATAATTATATTTTATTTATATAATTTATATATTTTACCATGTATTTTATATTATGGTTTTATGTTTATGTTGAAGATCTTCTTTAAATGTATTTAATGCAATTAAATGATTTATTATTCTTGTAGTACAAATATCTAAAAATATTCATAACTATTAATTATTATAATTAAGTTATTATGTTCTTCTATCTACAACAAATTTATTGGTAATTTTTTTAATTTATCTATATTGATCAATATTTGTAAATACATTTTTCTATTAATTTCAATACAGTTAAAAAACTAATTGCAATTACAAACAAAAAATAAATTCTCATTAGTGTAGAATTGTAAGAACTATAAACATTATTAATATTTTCAATATTATATTAATATTGTAAAATTTATTATAAATATTATTAATATTAGGATCGATCGAATTACGCACTGCGTATACACTATACGAGGATTTAAAAACAGCTCAAACAAATTTAATACTTGTCGATCATCTTCATCTTATGTATCTGATAACTCCTTACGATATCGCTAGTCAAATAAATCCTGTAGGTACAGTTTTCTATGACGTCGTAAGTTAAATTATATAAATATTTATAATTGTAACCATTGTATATTTTAAATGTTTATAAAAATAATTGTCTTTAGATTATGTCGTTGCCGACACATCAAATGAAAGTAGCAAAGTTACTTGGAATTAACGAGGCAGTTGTTGATAAATTGCGTGCTGGAATTACTCCGAAAGTATGTATTTTAAAAATCTCCACTTCTACACTTATTCATTTAATGTCTAATAAAACGATACTTTAAGTATGTAGATAAAAAAGTCGTTCAAAGATTTTATGTTACATTAATGTTGCATGAATTGTGGAATCATCAATCTATTTTAAATGTAGCAGATAAATATCAAGTTAATCGAGGTACTGTTCAACATTTATTAAGCTCAACCTCTTCGTTTGCTTCGTCAACGGTTAGATTTTGTCAGGAGTTGGAAGAGTTCTGGGCTTTCAGAGATTTATTAATGACTTTTGGCCAAAAATTAACATATTGCTGTGCTTCAGAATTAGAACCATTAATGGAATTGCCTTATGTTAAATTGGTATGTATTTCTTATTTCATTGCATACGACATTCACATTAAATTTTAATGTTTAAAGCAATTTCTACATGAATGCAATTGATATTTTGATTGTTTATTATTGTTTTGTAATAAATACTAGATAAAACATCAAGAATATTGGCAATTGTATCTAAGTAAATTTACATTAACAATGAGATTTATAATTAATAAGATCTAATGTTTAAGGGCCGCGCAAGACAATTATATAAAGCAGGGTACAAGACATTACAATTAATTGCAAAAGCTAAGCCAGAAGAAATGATAGAGAGAATCGAGCACTTATCAACTAGACTTGTTTCAAAAATTGTATCCGCTGCCAAAGTATATAAATTATCGAAATATATCATTTCAAATATTATTGAATATAATAATAATTAATTGTGTATGTATTTTTTGGACTTTTCTAGCTATTGCTATTGGAGAAAGTAGAAAATTTGAGAGATGAAGTAGAAGAAGTTTTAGATGGCTTAGATATTTAAAACAATACCAATTGATTAGACAAGTCGTACGATACGCACTGTGATACTAATATAATTAGAATCAAACATATCAAATTCTACAAAATATAAATTAATATATATATGCATATATTTTAAAATTAAATTTCTTTAATAAATGATATAGATGTGAATATTAATAATTATGAATAATTATAGAATGATCTGAATATTAACATTATAAAATACAAGTTTTTCTTATTTAGCAAATAGATAACAAATATGTATAAATTTATATTTTTGTAATAAAATAAAATCACATTGATTATGAATATAAGATATTTATGTTAATTAAGATGTTTATTTATAGATTTAATTGAAAATTTATTTTGTGCTCTTCGGATCAATACATTTTGAGAAATGTAATGTATTGTTCAAGCTAGCACATACATCAAGTTGTCTTGCAACAATTTCAACGTTTCTATAAATACGATTCATTGAAATATGGAAAGTATGACACAAAATATAATTTTTCTTATTTTGAAACGGATGATTATTTTATGCAAGTATTGATATATACTATTGTTGTTAAATTTGATACATTTATTAAATAAAAACCAATGAAACAAGACACGCGTAGTGTACGATTTATTATTAATTATATAAAATAAAAATTTATCTCTTCTTGTACAAACAAGATTTCAGTGTTAACTCTGGAAGCTTATTTACATCTTTTCTTAAAATATCTTTTGTCTTTTTAAAATCCAAAAAATAAAATAAATTATTAGATAAGTCCTGCCAAGTGTTAACAAATCCATAATTGGACATTAATTTAATAAAGTTATCTATTTTATTAAATCTACTTTCAATTTCTGCTATCTTGAGGATGCCGCTAAAATATAAACAATAATTACTTAATATTTAGTACAAAATAATTGTATATATAATAATAATAATAATTAATAATGGCGTGTACTACATATACAAGTCTTAAGCTTACTTCATTCCAAGAACACGATTAGCTTCTAATAAATAATCTTTGAGATTCGAGCCCATGAGAGAGAGGCAAAACACAACGACATTGATATGTCCCGTGAGAAGAGGGGTGTGAGCCATATCGCAGGCTTTTACTTTATCGTTCATAGCAATCAAATCGAAGGAATGAACCGTATGGGAAACAGAATTTGCGAGTTTCGCATCGCCACAACCAAAATCCGCTATAACATAATTGTCAGGCCTAAGTAAAAAAAAAAAATTAATATTATGATATTTATGATAAGTGAGTAATTTTATAAGTAGTTTGTGATGTAAATAAGAAACGAGAGCATACATTTTAGAAATAGATTCAATTATGACATTCAACGGATTTATTGGCCATCTTGCTACTTGTTGTTTGTATCCTTCGTGATAAGCATAAAATGCTTGCGGATCACCTTGAAAATATACTTTACTCTCTGAACTCGTATTATTATACATCTGCTCGTTCAAATATCTAAATCGAGACGACCTTAAATGAGATAACATTCGCTCTCTCAGCGATAGAACCTGTAATTTTCTCTTATCTTTGAAACCCATTTGATTATCATTTGCATTAAGCATAGCATTAATCTTATTTATATTTAATTTTTTAACTACATTTACGTTTCTCACAGTTGCGGAATTTTTATTTACAATTTTCTCGTTACTTTTACACTTACGCGGAACATTAACAGTTTTATTATTCGTTGACCCAATCTTAACATTGTTTTGAATACCTAATTTAGGTTTGAACCTCGATACATTATCTTTAATATTTTGTTTATTTTTTATCTTCTGTAAGCCAAAATGCTTAATTTTCTTACGTTCCTGTTTCTTTATCCCCTTCACATTGGGCCTCTTAGATTTTTGCGTTACGTGGCGTTTTGTTTCGCCTTTAACTTTTTTCTTCTTCGACATCGCCCTCGACTCTTAAAACAAATTATTTTAACAAAGCAGATTTTGGTTTATGTTTAAAATTAATTCCTCTCCTTTAAAACCCTAAGCACACGCGACAACATCAGCCGCAACAGATAAATTTGAGAATATTCTCTGGGCGCATGCGCGAGTGACTATCAAATCGAGATGACTAACCTTACCTCGCTTATTTACTATTGGAGTGTGTACGCGGGAAAGTGAAGGCCGCTAGAACAGCCAAGTGGTGAAAGCACGTTTTATCGGCTCTTTGGGATTTTATCACAATAAAAAAGACGCAATTGTTATAAATCTAGTACCTTTATTTAGAAAAGTGATTACAGTTATTATTATTTATTTATTTAATGAAAAATGGCTGTACAACCAAACAAACAGTTTGATCTCGGTGAGTGTTTTTCGGTGATTTATATAAATAAAGGGAATTGGCTGTTTCGTTACAATTTTCAATGTGTTTCAGATTCATCGACTCAGCAGGGCTTTGTCAGATTTTTCAAGAGCTTACCGGAGGTATGAAATACCGGTTTAAATGCCAGTTATTATTAGTAATATTATTATATTGAAATGTGCATTTCTTACGTGAAGTAATTGTATTGATATCAATGGAGAGCGTGTGTGATATAAATACGTCGCAAGCTATTACATCCTTGAAAATTGATAGATTTAAATAGAGAGCTTAAGATACGATGGATATAATTAAATTAGGATATACTCAAAATTATGATAAATAGAGATAACACTGTTTTATTACATGCGTTAACGTTGGTGAAGTCTCCAGTCAAGTTAATCGGATGATAAATTGTAAGTTTATGGTAAACTTGTAACGAGCGAGAGCTCTAATCTTGACTAAAGATAGCTTTTGTCCTCTCTTTGACCTTGTTAAAAGAGTCTGATAACTTGTGACCTACTCTCTTCCAAAATGTGCTCGGCGTAGTACTGGCTTCGACTTCCGCTGTTGAATAAATGGATTTTGTTTTATTCACTGACAATGTGCCTTCCTCTAAATTACTCTTTGTTTTTTGGCGCTGTACGTCAAATTCTAATTGACTAGATTGCCCGTCGTAAGATACCTCTTGCGTTTGTTGATTAAAATCTCTTTCTTCGAATTGGCTTGAATTGAAATTGTGATTATTAGCTACTCGTTGCTGTTGATTTTCTTGATTTTTATTAAAATCATATAAGGACTCTTGCCTCTCCTCTACTCTCGTAGGCTTTAATAGATGATGAAATCGAACGTTATCTCTTTGTTCTTGTAAGTCATGCGAACCTACTTGCTCGTGCTGCTGTCCGAGATCAGAATCTAACGAGGACTTTTGATAATCGTTTAGCTCGTCTTTTACGGCTGATGGCATTGTAGACACTTGAGAGTGCTTAAACAAATTACCTTTAGGATCTACCGAGGGCCTGTCATTATTAAGATTTTGTGAAGCGAGAGGCCGTTGAATGTCAACACTTTCTACCTCGGTCTCTTTTTGGTTATTTTGTAGTTGCTGTGGTGTAGTATGTTGAAATTCGTGTATTTGCCATGGTTTTGAATATCTTGAAACTGGCTTTATCAATGGCTTAATAGCTTGATGCCTTACCGTGGTACTTTCACCGCCCAGACGTTGCAAATACTCATTGGCCTGATTTGTATCGACTGTTTCGACCGACTGATGCTGTTGAGATAAATTGTCGATGTTTTGTTGGATTTGTTGTATTCCCAGTGTAAGGCCATGTGGCTTTTGTGTCTGATCGTTATTATGAATTTGATCAAAGTCATTGCGTTGCTGATAATTATTAAAATTACTTTCTTTTAAAATAAATGTTTCTGTTTCTGGACGAAACTGTAGATTTGGATTTTCCTGCTCAGGTTTAGACTTCCCAAGGGTTATTGGTTGTACGCGTGGTGGTTCCGGAGTTAAACTAATAATTTTTTGTTGAGCCGTATATTTATCATTATAATTATTTTGTTGAATTTCGGTAGTTGGGGATTTTGGTGCTTGGACTTGATTAGGCGCTTGATGCGTTGAATTGAATTTTTTGCTTCGCGGCTGTTGGAAAGATTCTAATCCAATATGAACATTTTGTTGTGATAGATCTTCCGTCTGCTGTGATAATTCTGATTGCCGATCGAAATTTTGATTTCGACTGGGTCTCGATTCTCGAGGTAATTGGACTTGTTGATTATATTGAAAGTGATCGGTAGAATGTTGTTGATGTTGCTGAGTGATATCTTCCGCTTTCTGATTTAAATCGGAAAAATAACTGTATTCTTGTTCTAAAACAAAATATAATTATTTAGTCTTATAAAGTTTAGCATTTGTTATAAGTGGAAAATAGTGACGACATTCGTGTTTCCTATGCATTTTAGAGGATGAATTCTTTGCATTTTATTTATAAAAAATAGAGCGCGATTGACATAAATAATATTACAATTGCAAGCAGTTTATGAAAATTAGACATTAACGTCGAATACTTGCCGATATGGATAATTTATTGACATAAAAAGTACAATGTTTATCGTTATAGGAGCTCCTTTGTTAAAATATTTTTATTTTTTTTTTACATCCCTGTTTTCTCAAGCAAACGAACAACACAAGCAATTAAGAAAGAATTAGTTATACTTAATATTATTAATTACGCAATTATATAATATTTCTTGGTAATGCGTTAATCGATGATATTAATTAACAATGAAAGATGAGTATCCGATTGATAAATTTTCTCTGCCATAATACTTAACTTGATTATGATAATTGAATAGAAATTATTCTCGTAATTCTATCATGAATAAATGAAGTTATTCCCATATATTCAATAATTAATTACATAATAATAATAATTTAATAATAATAATAATACACAATGATTCATAATATTAATAGTAGTTATAACATTAGAGTATAAAACTATTTGTTTATTAGATCACATTACATATTTCCTTTCTTAAAAATCGTTAAAAATTTATTTTTACGACCTTGATGAAGGTTCATTCATTATTTATTTATTTATTTACTTGTTTTTTTTTTTAAAGCTATTTAAATAAATTTCTCTGTTTCATTGTAAATTTATAACAATAGTTTTTATTTCGAATGTTTAAGAAATTGAAGGAATATTGTGTTAAAAGCTGATGACATCAGAGAATTAAAAAAAAAAAAAAAAAAACTTCCATTTCACCTCAAATGGACAATAATTAAGATTGCGCGTAGACATACATTAAACAAAAAAAAAAAAAAAAAAAAAAAAAAAAAAAATACATAAATAAATTGAAGTAATTTACGATTAGTCCCATCGTCTGAAATGTTTCGCAGAAAGCATCGGTTGATGAATGGTATAAAAAATAAATGAAAGCGACATGTTAAATGATAACGTAATATGTTTTTATTTATACTTTATATAAAAATTACAAATACGATTTCAACTAAATTAAGTGCAGGACAATAATATAAATGGATTATTCATAATGACAGTGTCTCGTTATTATCGTTTATACATACAAATCATTGGCACAATCATAAAAATCATATACATTACGTGAAGAAAAATCTAAAGGGATAATGGAGGGGGAGAAAATACTTTGGCATTGAACTCGAGCATTGCACGCATTAATCAGCTTCTACTTCGTAAGAGAGACAATTTACAAATATCGTCTTAATCAATCTATCCTTGATATAAGATCGCCAACAGCGCATCCTCATTGTCGCAAACTCGTCGGCACGGCACAACTCAACGCATTACCCTTCAAATCTCATTTTACGAAACGAAGATAATCTGCCCTTTTATGCATACACCATCATGCCTCGTTATCACGAGAGAATAGGAGAATAATTTAATAAGGACCGTGATTATAAAAGGAAATTGCCATTGCCGTAGCCGTACGCTACGACACCTCCGCTTCCATTTTCCTCAACCCCCTTATTAAGATTTCTTTCTTTCTTTTTTCTTTTTTTCTTTTTTTTTTTTTTTAACGAGACAAAAGGCACGAGAGCATCGGCCAAGCATGAAAGGAGCGCGTAGCGAGCTAAAATCAAGTGACGTGAACGATTGGGATGGCAAGTCGACGGGAGCCTTAGAGGCTCGAAAAATCTTGGACAATCATCTCGGTATAAGGATGAAAGGGCGGCTGTAGGCCAGCAGGGGGACGAGCTTTTCGTCGTTTCGGTCCTCCTCATCCCCACATCCCCACCCCCTTATTTACCTCCCACGTGTCTGCGATATCTCCTCGGTTGCTCGACGCACGGCTGACCGGCGAACATCTCCACGCAATCGACCTGGCGAGCACCGGAGCCGCTCTGTCCGAGGTCGATGAGACCGGTTCGGAATTTGCCGTCGACGCCCTGGGCCCCGTAGGAGCTCGTCGCGCCATAAGCGGAGCCGATTGAGGTGGTGTAGCTCTGCGAACGGCCCGGCTTCCTGCCCACCTCGAGCTCCACGGATTTTGAGTGCTCGTACTCGACGTTGGTGATGGCGGGGGCGCGCGACGAGCTGTAGCGCCCGGAGCTGCCGTACGAGGACTCGGACGAATAGCCGCTCGAGGCCGAGAAGCCGGAGGAGGATGATGAGCCGCCGCCCTGCTGCTGGGAATAGTTAGCCGCCTGATTTTGGAACGTGCGGAAGAGGTCCTCGAAGTGTTTGCCGAGATCCTCGGCGCTCAACAGTACATTCTGATTCTGGTATCTGCTGCTCGTCTCGCAGAGGTTGTTGATGCGCTCGCGCAACTGCTCGGCCTGGCGCTCGGCCTCACCCACGACGGTCACGCTGTTCGCTGACGTCAGCCGCATCGTATACATATTGAAGTTGTTCACCTCGGTCTGCAGCCTGTTGAGGTCCTGCTGGAGTCGGCTCATTGCCGCCGTGAGGTCCACGTGGGGCTGTATGACGGGCTGAGGCTTGGTGTGGCCGCCGTAGCCGTGGGACTCGGTGTAAGCGGAACCGGCGCTTTGCGTCTGGCTCCCGTAGCCCCTTCCGCTCTGCTCGTACATCGAACCGCCCGTAATTTTTACGCTACTCTGTTGCGCATTGGATAGGACTAGTCGCGCCTGTTGCTCCTGCTCCTGTCGCGCCCGCTTGTTCTCTTCGTCCTGCTTGCGCTGCAGCTGCAGTCGCTCCTCCTCCTGATGCTGCAGACGCAGCCTCTCCTCCTCCTGGTGCTGCAGCCGCAGCCTCTCCTCCTCCTGATGCTGCAGACGCAGCCTCTCCTCCTCCTGCTGTTGAGCGCGCAGCAATTCCTCCTGTCGAAGCTTCTCCTCCTGCTGCTGCTTTTCCAGCTTCAGCTGAAGCTCCCTGTCCTTGCGCCTGGCCTCCTCCTCCTGGTTCCGGCGCTCGATCTCCTGGATGCGGAGCCGTATTTGCGTCACGTACGTCTCGAACTGCCTCTTGAGGTGGTCGATGCGCGCGCGATCCGAGTCGTTTTGAGTCGACTCGTAGTTGAGCTCGGCCAGCTTGGCATTGATGGCGTCCACCTGGGCGTTGAGGTCCTGCTGGTACTGGAAATTGGTGTCGGGCCGATTGAAGGTCGTGTAAAAGCTGCTGATGAGGCTCTGCACTTTCGACACTTGCTCCTCGTGCTGCGCCGAGGTGGCCACGGGATAACGATAGACGGAGCCGTGAGTCGTGCTGCTGCTGCTGCCGATGTTGCTACTACTAACACCAACGCCGGAGTTTTGATAGATGAGATTCTCCATCTCGCGCTGCTTCTTGTCGACGTCGCGATGGAATTGGCTAATTATCTGCTGCATCTGCTGGTAAGTGGAGCTTCCGACGTCGACCTGGTTGCACGCGTTGTTCAACTGGCTACCAAGAAGATCGGCTTTGCTCTTGAAGTCCTGGAGAACGTTGGTGTTGACGTTCGAGCCGATATCGAGGTGGAAATTGCCCATGAAGCTGCTGATGCGATTGCGCATGCTCTGCAACTCGCGGCCAAACTGCTCCGTGGAGAGGACCTGGGAGTTGGAGAGCGGGGCGTGGGACTCGTGGCTGCCGTAGCTATAGCTGTGCTGGGCGTACTTGGAGAAGCCGTTGTTGCTGACCGTCTGGCCGGCGCGGTAACTCATCTGGCCCCTACCGTCGTCCGTTACGAAGTGCTTCTCGTCCTGCCAGTTGCCCGGGCGGCTCAGGCCACTCGTGCCGATCACGTTCTCGTCCAAGTTCTCGAGCCGGCTGCCGGCCAAACCGAGGCTTCCCGAGCCCGACATACCCGGTATCCCGTGCCCATAACTGGACTTTGAGTAGCTGCTGTAGCTGCTGGAGCTCTTGCTCTGCCCGTAGCTACCGACATTTTGATCCTCGCACAATTCGGCGCAGTTGGGTGACGGCGCCGCGAGGCTCGACTGGGCGATTAACGCGCCCACTAACACTACTGCCAGCATATCTATCGCTTCTGGTGCCAGTCCTTATGGTTGACGTCTATGCGATTTCTGAAAATCTGAAGCAACAAAGGCTCGGGCTAAGTTTGGAATATCGGCGAGTCGTCGAATATCTCGCTAACCCGATTTACCCGATGTTTTACTCTTGCATCGATTAATAAACGCATTGAAGCTCATGTTATGCCGATTGAAGAGCATATATCGATGGAATATGGCTAAAGTGCAAAAAGAAAGATACGAGCCTGAACGGGAATTTGCCCGTAAACTAATATCGCAAACTATATTATGCATAAAATTATAACTATAAGAAGAATTATAAGGGGATGGGGAGGGGGAGGGGGGAGCGAGACGGAAAGGGGGACGCAAAGGTATAAGGGGATGGTATAATAATTGCATTAAATGCGTTAAATGTTCGCTCCCTCGTTTCGTTATTTAATTTTTTTTTTTTTTCTTTCATTTTATTCGAAATCAAATTTCTATTCGTTCACGCGTCGTTTGTAATTTACAATTTTTGACCTTATATTATGATGCTTTAATATTACGTGCCTTGATGCAAATTTTTAAATGATCTTGCAAATATAATGATTAGCAATTTGTTGTAATAAATTTATTATATTGTCGATATTTAAATTAAGCCAAAGTACATTCACAAGACTCTTTCAAAATAATTAAAACATATTCCAAGACTACGTTTTAAATCCGCACGGATTTATAACTTAAACGAACCACCTATTAATGTCTAGAGTATAAATAATTTTTTATTAATTAAAGGGTAATGTTGATAAGAATTAATAAGGTTTAATGAAAGAAATTTGACAATGAAAGGAAAAAGGAAACGAAGGAAATATTCCATAATACCGCTTATGCATTAAAAGAAACGCACAAATCAAAATTCTACATTACCAATACTGAGTTTAAAAATTAATTAAACATAATGCAAATTATCCAAACAAATATATAAATGCATAAGATATTATTCTGTAACATTGCCATGAGCAGACTATGCGATAAAGTATTTCACAAGCAGATGATTTCACAATGCCAATAGCAGTATCTTGAGTAGAATTTTTTTATTTCTAGAGATTAAGTATTTGTATTGCGTGAATTTATAAAAAAAAAAACCTTTTACCCTTTCGTATTTGTGAACGTTAAATGTTAAAAAAAAAAAAAAAAAAAAAAAAAAAAAATAATAATAATAATAATAATCTTATCTTTTTTTCTTCAATTAAAATACGTATGATCGACGTGTATAAACATTGATGTCAAAAGGTTTTATCGCGATTAAAAAATAATTCAATCATAAAAACTCCAGAATAGATGAATTTAATCGTATAATGTTGCAAACAATTGCCTCCTCTAGCGTTCATATTATTGGCAAGATCGATACACATCGTCAGATTCTTACGAATTGTCTTCGATATCGAAAGATCGTAAAAATAAATGAAATGAAATATAATTCCGAATTTGGCAAGGTTCAGCTCCAAGCAGAATATAATCACAATGAATAATTTGCCAAAGTAAAGCATCGACTTTCGATCGGACAATTCGACACAATCGCTAAACCATTGACTCGAAATAACGTATTTGCGAATTGCGCTTTCATTGAATAAACCACGATTCGAATCATGCACTTAACAAATAAATTACACTTCCATCGTACCACCAGCGCCAAATACCGCAATACCGCCTAATGGAGATTAAAACTTTCGTCGCGTCAAAAACTTTAGCAACTTATGGCAAAGCTAAGCCGTAAGTGTATGAAATTTGGATTTTTTTGCATTTGAACGGCCGACAGCGCCCCTTTGAAAACCTCTCCCTCAAGGCCGGGATGCACGAGAGGTCGACGAAAGGGCGCCCCAGGAGGCCTCGCAATATTGGTTTGGCAGTACGTGAATGGCGAACGCCAATACCTCGTTCGCCTATTGAAACTAATCGCTATCGGCCCCTCGATTACCCGATGCACCAATTTTAAATGAGCAGCGGCTGCGACGTCAGCACTCGGACTGATCTCACTCGGACGTCCCGCAAACATATAAGTCAGTCTGTCAGCAGCGGATCATTTATCCTAGGCGACCCCTCCACAGCGGCCCGCCCTGACATTGAAGGTTTTCCCTCCGCGACGATAACGCGACGAGCATTTTCTTCTTTCTTTCACGATCCGTCGTCTTTTTCTCTCTTTTTCTTTTTCTTTTTCCTTTTTCCTTTTTCTTCGCTTTTTCTTTTTTTTCCTTTTTTTTTCCCTTTTTTTTCCCCTTTTTTTTTCCTTTTTTTCTCCTTCGCGCAGCTCAGCGTTTTATCGGAATTCTACGAAAAGCCGGTCGTTGATGATGCTGACGGCGCGACTCTCCGAGTCTCTTCCCTACGGCTCCAATTAATTAGCCTCTACGAACGATTAATACGCGTGTGTATGGCTGTATCTGTATAAATATAGACCGCGAGGGGAACTTTCTTTATTTCCACGGCGCTTCTTGGAGAGCAAGCGCCAAGAGAAATTCCGAGTAAATTGTTATTCGCGTTGTTAATCGATCTTCGAGAATTAGAATTAGAATTTTATCATTTGGATTAAAATATCAAGTACACTTGCAAGCACTTTCGATTTATACAAATAAAAGTTAAATTACTCCCCCCCCCCCGGGGTCCCCACCCACCCACTATGCACTACGAGACCTAATTTATTTCCAATAAAGTGTTCTTGTAAAAATAGTTTGGTAACCGAATCGCAACGATCGAAGATGTTTGGAAAAATCTTAATTCCTCGTACTTTAGACCTCCATTATGCTTAACGATTTTCTTATTATAGAATTTTAAAATAACAAAACCATATAATACATACTTTGACAAATAATTTCTTTACAATAGAGCATTATAGAAATAAAATTAAAATACATTGTTATATCAAACTTTTTGCTTTTTTTTTTTTATCTTTATTGATTTAATAAAGTATAAGTTAAAAGAGCATTGATTCAACATTGTATAAATTTAGTATGATTTAATCATTCGGCATGATACACTCAATTTAGAAAATCTTCGTTCAAAAAATTCTTTTTCTTCTTTGAATTTTTAAAATTACGAAATTAATTTTGTCGAAATAAAAATACGTAATGGAATTTTATTTATAGTGATTTAAAATTAACTTGTTCAAAAGTGTGACGTATAAAGTAGACAATTCATGGAAGTCATCATAATCTATATTAGTTAAAAATACACAATTGTAGTTTTTTTTTATTATGTAATTCGATATTTTAATCTTGATTATTTATAATTATGATATTTATTGGTAAAGTATTTTTTACTATTGAAAACTACTTCAATCTATGTGATTTTAATAGAGTAATTGAATTTCAATGTTATTTGAAGTTTGATGTTCTTATTTTATCAAAATTATCGTACACTAATGAAATAGGTCATATTGACGAAAATAATTTTATGACTATCTATTTCATAAATATCTAACGAATTCAATTATTTCAACTAAATTTTCACATTAAACTTATCATTTATTAACATTATATTAATACTTAAAAGTTGTCGATTATTACATATATATATTTTTTCTATTACAATCAATTTTAAAGATAAATTTTATGAATTTATAAGCTTTACTTCCGAGCCACTGACAAAATTAATTCATTAAGAAGATTAGAGAATTAAATTGTAAAATAATAGTTTCTATAAAATATCATATTCAAGGCTACATTAGCATCTAAGATTAACAGATCTTTATTAATTTCATTTATTCATATTTTTCATACTTGAGTTTAGAATTTTATTTGTATACTATAAAAAAAAAAAAAAAAAAAAAAAAAAAAAAAAAAAAACGCATTTGCTTGATTCGTGAAAATAATTCTTTCTGGAATAAAGCCAAATTAACAACGACCTTTTTTTTTAATTATGGGAAGTTACAGTTATTTTTGTAATATACACAAAATTATTTACAAAATTTTAGTATTGGATTTAAAGTATTTCACAAAACATTTTTTATAAAAATACATAACAGTCAATTTGTAAAATTACATTTCTATACTACAAAAATTTGTTAAATATTTATTATTTGATCATAGACAATAATGAATTGTAATTGCTGATATATCAAAGGCATGTGATTAATTATAAGTCTACTGTTTATGGCGAGAAACGCGAAATTTCCAATCATAAGATAATAAATTTCTAATGATTAGTCTCGAATATAAACAAGGAAGTCAAAATTTACGTCATATGTTTGATAAAAATATAAGATGATGTAATTAATGTATATATATATATATATATATATATATATATATAAATCTGAAAACATTAAATCTAATTATATTCATTTTAATGGTGTGTATTTCCGCTCATACGAATTATAAAATTTAGTACGATAAAGTTTATACGAATACAATACAAATATTTTTTACGAATAATTGAGCAAAATTATCGATTAATTAATTCTAATATTGCCTGTAAAAATTTACCAAACTTTTACCAAATAGGCATAATAAGCTATTGTTAACTGTCAAAACGTTTCAAGAAAAATCAAATGTTGTATTGATTTTTAAAGAGTACATAATTTATGTATCATTAATTTTCTTATTTGAAAAGTTTTCTCATGCATAAATAAATATTGTCGTTAAAATATTTAAAATACACAAAGAACTGATTGATGTATATTCATTTTTATAGTAATTCACAACTCTTACCGTTAATATATTATAATTAATTTATTAATCAAGATTTCATTATCTTTTAATATATGAATTTATTATCAAAATTATTATGAAGGTATTTGAAAGAATTTGATGTTAATAATTATTTTATTAAACCGTCTAATTTGAGAGACGTTTTCTAAAACTTACATTTACCGAGTACTAAAGTACCGTTTGAAAATTTATTTTCATGCCTAATCTTGTATAATTTGCAAGCAGTACGAGCATTGAAAAGTCTTCTTTACCAACCTGAATTCTCCAGAAATAGCACACAATATGTGGATCGATGAGAATTATAAAATAATTTTTATTATTTATGGATTGATGCTAATTTCTCTTTGTAATTAAAATTCAGCACGTTTAAGAGAAAAATATT